GGGCACTTGAAAAGGTTGTTTGCAGACGATGCACACGCATCACGCACGGGGCACTTCTGCTGAGAAGGGGCCTAATTCGGAGTCTACAGCAGGCAGCAAAAGGTTCCTGTTGCCCCAGATTTGTCACAAATAATTGTTTTAATCAAGTGGTCCAATTACAACTTAATCAATATAAGATAAATGTTTCCACCTTAGGTGGGCAAAGCTGCTCACAGCCTCACGCCTGGCCGTCGGGCTGCGTTTTGTGTCCCTGTTGCAGAAGGGAAAGGGGGTTGGGAGGAAGGATGGTTGGTGGAACGCTTGAAAACCCTTCTTTTGGCCCAAAGCGGGAGCGGAGCAGCCCACAGAGATACTGTCACAGATCCAAGCAGGCTGGGGTTAAACGGTTTCCTCAGCTTTTCTCCCTAAATCAATTTGAATATTCTTGGCAAGCTCTGTAACTGTGCATGGTGGGCAGCTGTGATTCAAGCAGGGATTTTTTTTTTTTTCCCCCCTCCTTTCTACTGTTCCAGTCTTCCTGTCTTGTGCAGATGTGATCCTTTCCCTCTGTCTGCCTAACAGCTAATTATTTTACCAGACGAGCCAACAGTCTGAAGAAAACAGACCACGCATATTCTTGAAAGCAACAACTGTGTTACAATATCAGGGGGGATGGGGAATTAAAAAAAAAAAAAAAAGAAAAAAGAAAAAAAAAAAGAGTCACTTCCTTCTGACCCACTCTGCTCCTTAAGAAAAACCTCCAAAAATAGCAAGTGTTCTGATTTATAAAGGACCAACCTACCTCCCAAGTTAGTACCCCCCCTCTTTAACAGCAGAAACTTGCACTGTGTGTTTGGGGAAAGAGGGGGAAAAGCCAGCTTGGATGTAAAAGGCATCCAGCCAACAGCTCTGTAATCTACAGCCCCCCCAAAAACCTACACACCCCTCTTACTGCAAGAACGTGGACAAAGGAGCGTCAGCAGCTCCCTGGAGGCTGCCCGGGTGTCACCGAGCTCGCTGCAATTTCATTCCCAGTCTCAATTATGCCTTTCTGATTAAAATCATTAGTGCCTGGGTCTGGAAAGAGCACAAATTCTGCCTTCTGGGTTTGGTGGTTGTGTCTGAGGGGGCTTTTCTGGTAGGGGGAGATATCTGAGGTACCTGGGCTTTGCAGCCAGCGCCAAAACTTAGAGCTGGAAACCACTGTGTGTCGCGTCCCAGGTGTGAGCTGCGAGCTACCAGGGAGCACTACAAGCAGGCGGTTGTGTTTTGTAGCTACAGGCTGCCTTTGTAGCTACAGGCTGTCTTTAGAGAATGCCTACAGCGTTGAGTGTCACGGGCAGGACAGGCGGAGGAACGCACCACTTCCAAATCCCACAGCAGCTCAGCACCTGCTGGAGCACAGCTGTGACACACGGAGAGGTGCATTGTCCTGCTGATCTCAGAATCATAGAATGGTTTGGGTTGGAAAGGACCTTAAAGATTATTAAGTTCCAACCCCCTGCCATAGCAAGGGACACCTCCCACCAGACCAGGTTGCTCCAAGCCCCCTCCAACCTGGCCTTGAACCCCTCCAGGGATGGGGCAGCCACAGCTTCTCTGGGCAACCTGGGCCAAGCTCTCACCACCCTCACAGCAAAGAAGTTCTTCCTGAGATCTCATCTCAATCTCCCCTCTTTCAGTTTAAAACCCTTCCCACTCATCCCATTGCTCCCCTCCCTGATCCAGAGTCCCTCCCCAGCTTTCCTGGAGCTCCTTTAGGGACTGGAAGGGTCTCTAAGTTCTCCCCGGAGCCTTCTCTTCTCCAGGCTGAACCTCCCAACTCTCTCAGCCTGTCCTCACAGCAGAGGGGCTCCAGCCCCACAACAGCAGGCCAGGGGTGTGCTCTCTGTTCTGAAAAGGCTCCACGTCCCTCCTCTTTGGGAAGCCCCAGTTCAAGCAGTGGAGGGTCTGGGTATTTTTGCCAGTGGGGCAATAGCGTACGGATGCTGAGAGGCAGGAATGAGGGCTTTGAAGGAAGGCACGTGCCTCAAGATGAGGTAGAAGCTGTCTGGTACTTTTTGGAAAGTAAAATTAGAGCCTAGGTTGCTAATTGTTGGTGGGTTCAGCACTCCTGGTAAGAGTTTTACAGAGGTCCTACTGCTGCTGGCAGACAAGCTGCAGGGTCTTTAATCATAGAGAAATGCTACCACATTTTTGACAGGCAGCTCTTTTCCTGGGGGATAACAGCGTGTCCTAAGAGGGGGTAAAACCAAGGCCTGTCCCCAGCACATGGCATCCACACCAAGGGTCCAAGCGCTCCAGGTATATTCTCTTTAACGTTCCTCAGCAGCAAATCCTTCCGTGTAAAATGTGACGGGTACTGCTCTAAAGGCCAGCGTGCTCCCTTCCTAAACCTGGGTGAGTGACTCCTCCTTCGGTTCCAAAGTTGAGTTGCTTTTGAGGAAGCCCTCTACTCTCCTGAAGGCAAGTTTCCTGCCTCAGAAACCCTCTGAGCATCGGGACAGGGATGTCCCTGTCCTTCCCCGACACCCTCGCTCACCTTTTGAGGACAGGATCGGAACCAAGAGCCAAAAGAGTGACTATTCCTCATTTCTTTGTTGCCATTTTAAAAGCAGATAACCAGTTAATGAGTTGCTCACCCTCCGGGGCTGTTAAGTTCTGGTGCAATTACCTAACGAGCAATTATCATTACCACGTTTTTGTTCTCACCTGCTGCTACGTGGATTCCGGCACTGACCGCCTTTCTAAGTGGGGACAATCCACCAGCCTGAGGGGTGCTAATAGATACCCCACCTCCTCTTGCTGGAGTTTGCAGTAGGGCTGAAACCTGCTGCAGCGGGATAAACCCTAAAATATTCCAAAGGGATTCCGTGGTTTGGGCGCTTCCCGAAATACTGCCTTTTGTGTCCTGAATGCCAGCCTTGCCCTTTCCTGCTCTGGCAGGGAAAAGCCGACAGCAGGGTTACACGGCGCGGTTTAGAAGGTGAATTTATTGGACAAGGGCAAAGGTTTAGATTTGGAGGAGCTCCCCAAAAGGGCTGCTGCCCTCAGGAAAGCGCCTGATGCCAGTCAGGACTTACGGGATGTACTTGTGTTGAGGTCAGCAACCGGCAATTAATTAATTCGTTAAAATAGCTGGAGAGATTTAAAATGGTGCGTACATGCGTGCAAGGGGAGGATCTTGAAACCACTTAAGCTGTAGGGCAAACAAAAACCAGATGGGAGATGGGCGCGGCGCTGAAAAGGTGTAGGCAGCGGGCCTGTATCTGTCATTATTCCTGCAGCTACAAGTTAATTACCATTCCTAGGCTTTGGGGAACAGAGGTGTTTTGGTTTATTTAAAAAAAAAAAAAAAAAGGTAGGGGAAGGAACACAAGTTCTGCACTTGGAAGATGCCCCTTAGCACCATCCCAAGTCTCTGCTAAGATTCTTAATGTGCTTTAGTCATCACTCAGAATAGAAACCGTTTCCCTCATCTTTAACGATGATTTTAGAGGGGGAAAAAAATTAAATAGAGAAGGAAATCCCCACGTTTCTTTTCCTCTCTGAATTCCTCCTGCTTCTTTCAGCAGCACCAGAGCAGAACTGGGCAATGAGGAAGCCCTTCCCCAGCCGGCTGGGTGAGAAGCAGATGTGCCACCATCCTGGTCGATGCAGTTGTCGGCGGTGACGAACAGGGCACAGAAAGGTAAGCTGTTTACCTGGAAAACATTACTTCAAGCTGATCTGAAGGTCGTAACGGGGTGAAGGCAAGAGGTAAAATTAGCAGCCAACTCTAAACGAAGATTATGGTGGGGTTTTTTTCCCCCTTAAGTCCTACAATGGCAAAGTTACAGTGACTTGTACCACCACCAGGACAACAAACCCACCTGTTAAAAACCTACACCTTTCTCCCAGTTGCTGGAACACAGGAAGAAATATATTTGGAACAAATACCAAAACCAAACAACAACAAAAAACACCCCTGATTTTTCACAGTATTGAAAGAGCTAATGAAGCTCGTTTGTGGAAAATAGATGAAGCGCCCACAGGGAGGAATCCGCTATTGAAAAAGTTGACTTGCAAACGTCGACTGAGCTGGATTTAGTCCTTTCCACACAAAAGCCACGGCAGGGGGAGCAAGCCAAAGGGGAGGAGTGGGGAACATGAATTATTACTGAGCAGAGGTAAAGCCTGAATTGCGTATTTTTTTTCCCAAGAATGCACAGCAATGGGATAAAAATTTGGGGTTTGGGGGCTTTTTCTTTTGCTATTAAAATCCTGTCTACCCATACCTAAGATGGCATCTTCTTGACCCAGCCACCCAGACTGTTGCACCCAGAGCCAAACTGCACATCCTGGTTCACTCCAAAGAAAACCAAAGCTGTTATCCTGCTGGGCCATGATCCTTGAGGAACACACACACACCAGCACCCACAACGTGCTGGGGTGAAGACGCTGGTTGAGCTCGTTTTAAAAGCCAGATAAATGGACTGTGATTAGTGGGTTGGCCAATAAACACCAAATCCACACAGCAAGGTGAGGAGGACAAAAATTCAGGTGGCAAGAGCTGCTTCAAACAAGTGCTTCTCTCTAAATGCCACCCGTTAACCGCTCCTCCAGTTCTTCTAGCAGTTGAAATGCAGGTGGTGCAGCACACAAGGTCACAATGCCAAGATTTTTCCTAAACACAGCATTATTAGGTGGCTTCTGGGCTTAGACAGGAATGTTGAAGTCAACAGAAGGTGAGGGGTCTTCCCACTGTAGAGTACTAAGCATAGAGCATGAACTAGAAAAGATTCCCCTCCAAGGATAAGGATTTGATTTTGAAAAGAAACTAAGATGGAGGGAGGGGAAGTCTTGGCTAGAGACTGGAGTAGGGCTGCTTTTCTCACTCCGTGACAGCGATCGATAGGGAAGGTGTTATTTTGCGGTGTCAGATTTCCTCAACGTAAGCAGCTCATGATACAGTTAGAGAAAAAACCAAAAAAAACCTGACAGAACTGTGATTTCCCAAAGGAAACAAAGCAAACATCATCTACTTCGAAAAAAATCTGATTTTATTTTTGTATTGAAAAGACCTGTCAATTTAAATAGCTGTTTATTTCCATTCATGGTCTCAACCAGTGTTGTGTGTTAACATAATTCATTACTGTATAAAAAGCCGTTTGTGTTACATCGGTTAACATCCTAGAACACTTGGAGGCAGGGGGGAAGGGAGGGGTTTGAAGCAGCTTAACATTAAAAATAGGATGTTCCCAAAAAACTTAACAACTGATGCGGCATCTTCTATTCTAATTTTATAGGAGCTGAAGCATATCGCAAATACAACTCAAGTTATTTGGTCTTTCCCCCCAAAAAAAAAAAAAACAAAACCACCCACCAAAAAAGAAAACCCAACCCACTTGAAAACCAGATTGCTTTCATGGCAATATCGAAGCTGTCAGCTGAGAGAACACACACACACACGCTCTGGTGTGTGCAAACACACGCGCGGTGAGCCACGCTGAGCACAACTGGAACACCCCAGTCAGTATTTGGATTACGCATGCGTTCTTCTGCATCCATGATTGCTGGAATTTAAAATGCTAGTTACCTTTCCTCTTTTATTTTTTTTTTTAAATATATACACGGTTTCCATGGAAACCCAAGCTTCTGCACAATCAACTGACATTTATTACTCATGGTGCTGTGAAGTTCTCTAGTGAAAGGGCCAAATTCCAAAAACCTTTACTCCAACGTGCACATACCTGACCAAGGCCAATGAATAAAGGGAGAAGACGGTTTAGAAAAGAGGTTGCAGGTTCAAGGGCTAGATTTGAAAAGAAAAAAAAACAACCCAAAAAATAATAAATCACATGACAGATTGTCATTTAAAAAAAAAAATATTTAAAAATCATTCTTTGGTTTATTTCCATGAGTCTCAATGCTGTCCGAAAAGCCCAGAGACAGTCCCATGAGAAACCCTAGCCCTAAAAGCAAGCTCACAGCAGTTTTAAAATCTTGTGTATTAAATGCTCCGAAGACTACAGGAATTCAGAGTACCCCTTACATTCACGTCTCCCCAAAAATGTAGTAACTGCTTAAGTGCATGCACTGAGGCACGACCGGCATGCCTGTAAATTCATATTTTTCAAGTTAAGAGTAAATATAGCTGCAAAAAACCCCACCCACCTATAATTAAACGGTCATTACTAGCAATACTATAGTGACTGTCTTGTTATTAAAGAAATGCAGACGTGGATTCTGCCTGTTTTGGCGCTCCCAGCCAAAAGGAAGCTGTCGGCTCCATTTAGAAAAGCAAAGCAAATTTTAAGAGTCCAAGGGAGTTGAATATTTCCGTGTTCCTGGGGTCAATTGTTACTGGAAAGATGCAGACAAATGGCAAGTACACGAAAGCATCTCTCGTACATTCCAGGGTTTGCAAGTCAAAAAACCAGAACTTCACTTCCTTACGCTTAAATGTTACGGTAGGCTCGGAAAACCAGGAAGAAGTGATAGAATATTTCCACGAAAAGCAAAGTAGAACTAAGTCTAACTGCCATTCGTACACAAGGAGGTTTGGTTTGTTTGTTTGTTTTTTTGCTATGCTTTATATAAGGCAGATTTTATTGCAAAGATAGTTACCAAGTCCGCTAGTAGGAAGAAAAATAGAGGCAACTATACTCTGAGAAGATGGCTGATAATTACTAGTGACAACTTCCATTTTTCAGAATAACTCAGCTTTAATGTACTTTCTGGAAACAGCATTTTAATCACTGGTTTTCACTTCCTTCCCCATCACACGTTAAGCATCAAAAAAATCAAGAGTGGACAAAATGAATTGTGGATATTTACCAACCAACAACATCTCAGATTCCAATGTTATTTTTAACTGGAACAAATATAGGTCATTCTTTATAACCTACTGCCAGTGGTTGTTTATAAATATCTGCTTGCTGCAATAAACACTGGTCACCAAAATATTCATTTGCAATAACTACTTGGCACTAGGTTAATATACTTGTAAAGTTTAATGGAAGTGCTTCTGATGTACATATAAGCACTTAAAACATCCAACTTTTAAAACTTGGTTGGGGGGGGGGGTTGAGTATCTATAGTTACAATTTTCACAAGCATTTCTGAAAGTATTCAATCTCTTCAGAAGTTTAGAGGCTCCTGTCTCAGCACATCTAAGTTTCTCCACAATTACAGAACGGCTAATTTAACATTCTCGCTCCCTATGCTGAGACAACACGGTACCAAAAATTGAGCTATAAAAAGAGGCATTTTTTTTTGGTCAGACTGACCCCCCAGCTGTCCCTTAACAAAAAAGCAACACAGCTCCAACCTGTCTCCTCCCTCCAGAAAAAAAAAAAAGACACCTAAGGCCACAATTTTACATTTGCCAGAGTATACCAGGTGTTTCTCCCTTTGTGGCAACTTCCAGAACTACTACCACCACCTTTAAGGATAAACCACCTCAGAAGCCAGTTCAGGCAGCAGCGCGGACGGAACCACGTTACATGGAAACAGCGTGTTAAAGCCATTCCAGCTAGTTCAACTAGTTTCTAAAAAAAAATAAAAATGTTTAATCGACATTTCCTAATTGCAGGAAAGAAAAAACCAAAATAAAATCTTAATGTAGAGAGAGGCAAAAAGATGCAAAGATAACCACCACGATGATCCAATAGCAAAAGCTTCTCTTTAAAAGTTGTTTTTGTTTTTTCTTATGCTAAAAAAAGGCACACAACCCATTGTGAACTAGAGACAAAAGCTAGCAGGACTATAGCAATAAACCCAGAAGAAAAAGCCTACCAGAATTACCCAATTGCCTACTGGGAAGGAACAATGAAGTAGACAGGCTGCTCTTGCTCTGTTTTGTTTGCAGGGAAGTGGTCAAATTTAATAGTCAAATTTAGCCACATTAAGAAACATTTAACAAAAGCTACCCCAAGAAACCAGAACAAAACCTGACCTTTGGGTCAAAAGGCCACAGACAGGCCCTTCCATAGCGTGTAGCTGAGTGAGTTCAGAGATTGGCAATGAAAGAAAAAAAAAAAACCAAAACAAAAACCCAAAACAAAAAGCTTTAGACATGTGATGGGAACAAGCTTTGGGATTTATCGAACAGTCACACCAAGCTTCTCCAGCACACGCACTCCCTTTTCTTGGTATTCTTGTCGGGTCATCCAGAAGTTGTCTTTGTCTTTCATGATGTCTGCTAGAACCGCGCCGCCCAAAAACACCATGTGCTTTCGACGAGGCGGATCTTCAATCCGGATCTTAAATTTCTAAGGAAAAGAAAAGACACCGTTAGCAGGATTCTTGAAATAAAGCCTTTCAAAATAAAACTCTGCTTTCCAGCAGAACAATGAAATGAAAACACTTTAGTGGGAAAAATGCAACCAAAATACCAAAATGCTGGCACAGGGACACTCTGCGTGAGCTTCCGCTTGCACCAACTCGAGTAAAATAACTACTTCGTGCTGTAAATTAGAGACAGCTATTGACGCTTCCCCCAAAATTATACATTCGGTGGATCCACAAAAAGCCCAGGAGCCAGAATGCAAAAATACGGTCTTAAATTTTGTATTTCATGAACATTCCAGGAGTGCAGTACTTCCTATGCTTCAATAGCTAAAATTATAAGACGTTATCGGATCATCAAATCACAAAATATTTTATAATTATACGAAGTTTTAGAAGGGCAGATGGAACAGATTTTAAATTTACACAACCTAACCCAGCTTAACTAATTAATATTCCCTTAAATTCTTCAGTGCTAAAGCCCTAACTTCAAGAGCAAAAATGAGTACAGCCAAAGCTATGCGTGAAATACTGTTTTTAACTTAAAGCATTCTGTACAATTGAGTCATTCAATATAGATGCAAAAGATCTTTAGAGAACGCTGTATTAAAACCCAGGGAAGTTAGTTACAAGGGAAATTTATTCCATTTGAAGGTGTGCTAGAACTCCAACCTCTTACTTTTGAGTATTTCACTTATGTTGTGAACCAAAACTTTCAAAAATAAAAATCAGATTAAAAGAAATCATTTTTGCTCAACGGTGACTTTCTCTAAGGCACAAAAAGCTCACTAGCTTCCTTAAACCTACATTATAAGTTGTGCCCTAGCGTTTAACAGCCCATTTTACGTTCAAACTACCGGGAGACTTCAGGAATCATGTGCTGTTAGCAGGGACTAGAAGGTGGCTTTATTGCAGATCTATTCACAACAAGCCACCCTACTCCAAAGGAACGGAGAAGCAGCGATTTTGCAAGTTGTTTCTGGCATTTCTGGCTACTTGGTTCCCTCTAGTGGGGACTCAGGATAAATCTCGGCCACGGACAAATATAAAGCCACCGCTCGCTACCTACCGAGAGTTTTTCCACGTCTCCTTTCAGAACTCGTTCCAGGTAGAGCTGTTTAAGTTCCCGCTCCAGTCGCGAAGGCAGCCCAGGGTACATGGTGGACCCTCCAGACAGCACGATGTGCTTATAGAATTCAGACCTGACCAAAAAGAAACAATAGACTTTCCAGGTTGGAGGCTGACCTGCTGGAGAGCTGCTCTGAGGAAAAAGACCTGTGGTCCTGGTGGACAACAGAATGCCCATCATCCAGCAATGGGCCCTTATGGCCAAGAAGGCCAATGGCATCCTGGGGGGCATCAGGAAGAGTGTGACTAGCAGGTTGAGGGAGGTCATCCTGCCCCTCTGCTCTGCCCTGGGGAGGCCCCATCTGGAGCACTGGGTCCAGTTCTGGGCTCCCCAGTTCAAGAAGGACAGGGAACTGCTGGAGAGGGGACAGCAGAGGGCTACAGAGATGATGAGGGGCCTGGAGCATCTCCCTTATGAGGAGAGGCTGAGGGACTTGGGTCTTTTTAGTCTGGAGAAGAGAAGGCTGAGGGGGGATCTGATCAATGCTTATAAATACTTCAAGGGAGGGTGTCAAGAGGATGGGGCTGGTGTTTTTTCAGGTGGGCCCAGGGACAGGACAAGAGGAAATGGGCACAAACTTGGAAGATAAGAAGTTCCACCTAAACCTGAGGAGGAACTTCCTTCCTGTGAGGGTGGCAGAGCCCTGGAAGAGGCTGCCCATGGAGGTGGTGGAGTCTCCCTCTCTGGAGACATTCCAAACCCATGTGGACATGTTCCTGTGCAACCTGCTCTGGGTGGACCTGCTTTGGCAGGGGGTTGGACTAGATGATTTCCAGAGGTCCCTCCCAACCCCGTATCATTCTGTGACAGTGTTGTATAGTATACTCTGTAGTACAAATAGGTACAGGAGACTAAATACTACTGCATGGCAGACTTGCTCATGCTTTTCCAGGTGTCTTTGATGGAAGTGCTAAAAAAAAAAATCACCCAAAACCCCAAGAAAACTGGATTTTAAGCATTCTGCTCTTACCTGGTATCAATGTCAGCGGCCTGGATGGTGTTAAACAGCAATTCAGCCACACCAACCCCCTCTACGTTGATTAAGTGAGGCTGGAAGAGAGCCTCCGGTGCCTCAAACCGTTCTCCACCAACTTTGATAATCCTGCCATCTGGGAGCTAGTAAAGAAAAAAAAAAAAAAAGAGCGTTTAGAAGACTACCTTTAGCCAGTTGGATACTAAACAAACCAAGAGGAAATGACCTACATTGTTCCCTAATGTTTTAAAACAGGAAATTGTTGGTCATTGTCACCGCTGCAAGAAGCCATTCAGTACTATTGAAGGAAGATATAAATTCGTTGACCGTTACGCAATTTACTTAGAGACATCAGAGACCAGATACATCAACACTGACGTACTGAGCACGTTTCCTCACAATACAGCTCCTAACATTGATTTAATAGATGATCTTACAGCCAGAATAATGCTTTCCTGCAAGATCTTTTCCTCCGTGTGCCATCAAAGGAAGTTTTCACTAAGAGCAAGTTTACCATTCTTATCACCAGGCATCAGTCACGTGTCAATGCTAGAGGGATGCAGCTGAAACAGCCACACGCTGGAGTAAGTCCACTTTCTCTGTACGTTCTCGTAATTTAATATTCAAATTCTACTATTCAAGGATCTACATTGACAAAAATGACTAATGGTAAATCAGGAGCTGGGGGGAGAACGAGCTACTGCCAAGAGAAATGTAAAAGGAATCAAAGCGAAATCCTACCTGAATTTAAACTTAGGAAGTTTAGAACAAGAAAAGCTCTTTAGCCACCCACCGTGTAGGATTCGACTAGTACTGTGGTCTCTAGTGCCAGTTTCTGCTCCTGCTCGATGTTGTACCCCACGTAACACAGTTTTTCCTTGATCATGCGAACCGTCTCGAAGTCAGCAGAGTGGTTGAAAGCATACCCTCGCAGCAGGAGGAGCTGGAGATGACACATGGTGTTAGCAACACACGAGAGAACACCCAGGACCTCTTTATCAGTAGAGGAGGACGCTCAAACACTTATCTTGGAAAGTTTGTCTCCCTTTTTTAACTGCAAATTTAGTGTTAAGTCAAAGCTGTCCCCAGTGTATCCGTTATTACCAGGGAAGCAGAAGAGCAGCAGCATTGCTCCACCTTGGAAATTTTCTTCTTCTTCACCACAGTTTTCAGTATAATCGTTACAAAGACAAGTGAAAGATAACCAAAAGAATTCTTATATATAGGACTTCGCTTCAGAACACTCTGCCATTCCAGTTTAACCACCAGATTCGTCAATCGAGACTGTTGCTTCTATTGTTTTAAAAAGTGTAAGTTCTCTAATCTTATTTAATAATCATTGAAGAATTACTATTTTCCACACTGTAAGAAAAAGTCTTTCTGAAAATAGATGAGTAGAACTGATAAAATACAATTTTGTTCTCATTTTACATATCAAGAAGGCCAACTACAGAGTTTTTCCTCCCCAAATATGGAATAGAATCCCTTCCTACAAGATTGCCACTAAGAAAATGTGAAGTCTCTAAGTAATATCAATAATATTACATGCGATTTAGATGAGAAAACGTAGTAAGGATGGACTTAAGCAATACAGAGAATACAATACAGAGTTCTTTATGTAATTACCATATAAATAATAAAGGAAAAACATACAGTGGTTTCTTGCTATCGAGGGATTTTAACTTGAACCAACGTACCACAGATTTCAGCTCAACCTTAAAGATTCTTCCCAGCTTACCTTAATGAGGTACCTAGTGATATCCCTCCCAGCGATATCTAACCGTCTGGTGAGATGAGGGAGAGAGAAACCTTCATAAACTGGGCAAATGTGAGTTACACCATCTCCAGAGTCCACAACAACACCAGTCAACAGACCTAAAAGAATGACGGGGTGAGGAAATAAAGTACAACTTTTATTAGCACCATAAAGAGAACAGAATAGTAGAGCGTTTAAGATTTTTTTAAGGTTTTTTTCCATTGTAATCTTAATACCACCTCTGTTCCCCCAGTCATCACTTTGGGAAAAGAAGTCACAATTTAAAATTCAATTGTTTCCATTCAGATGGATTTTAAACTTAAGGTTTTCATAGTAACAGATGCTTTCCTATACTTTTTTAAAAAGTATTACCTCTGCCTTTTCCTAGATGCTTAAAAATCTACTGTTCGCCATTTTACCTGGTGCTTTGACATATTAAATTGCACTCTAATTAATGAGAATATCTAACATCATTAAACACTCGCTGGGGCACAAGTTCCTCCTCACATCGAGCTGCTGATGTGCAACCTTATATTAATTTCTCAAATATGAAGACACCTAGATGTACTCAGGCCACAAGTTCACCTAGTTTCAATTGTTAGGACTTTTTGATTTTGGCTAGTATTCAAAAAACAAAACAATGCTTTCTTAAGGTAGAGAATATTTGGACTATACAGAAGACATCTGATTTTTTTTCCCCCCACAGAAATAGCATTAGATCCACTTTCATAGACTGAAGAAATTAACTCAGGTGAATAAAGCTTACCGCAGAACCATTACATTGTAAGGTATGCAAAACTGACATATCATAAGCATGTGAAAAAAGAAGCTTCTATACTTCACTAACAAAATAACTAAAAAGCAAAATTAATGGTGAAAATTGATTAGAAAACAGTTTTACAGTTTCTCCCAAAGCTACCTAAAGCAAGAAAATATATTTTAAGGGGAGACCTTAAAATGAAGAAGGAACATTTAATGTGGAATGGCAAGGTGCATTGATTTGGCTACTGTAATTTGCTCAAGCTTTGTCAAGAGAAGGGAAACAAACTGGTCATCTGCCTCCAACGCACCGAAGAAGGTTCAGTTGTGGGGCCAGATCTTCAGATTTATTAGTGGGGTAATGGCTCATACAAACACAACTCTTGCAATCGGACACACGCAGCAAGGAAAGAAACAAGGGACTACACCAAAACTCCAGAAGGCTGCTGTGAGGAATTCCTAGAGAACTTCCCAATTAGAACTAGGTTTTGATATAAAACCCCCCTTTGCCTTTAAAAGGCACACAAGCGCGGGGAATTTCACATAAAAGCAACAATTAGGCTTAAGATAGTTTTAACAGCGGGGGGGGGGGGGGGGGGGGGGGGTTAGGAGCCGTGGGGAGACAAGGAAAATATTTGTGTAAGAAAACTACACTTTAAAAGACAGTTTAAAACTGGGATTAATAAGTCTGCTTTTATGGAAGCATTTCTACATGTTGTAAAACATTTTTAAAAACATTGTAAAAACTACAGAGTTTCACGTTAAATATGGCTGATTTTCTTTATAGAGCTGACCTGCTTCCGGGGGGGGGGGGGGGGGGGGGGGGAAGTAATAGCACGGAATGCAGCAAACAAAATTAATATCCAAGTCTGCAAATATAATGTTGATTCAACTCTGTTTAATGCCTTGCATGACGGGACCAGCTCGCCAGCACCCCAGCACTTCTGCTCGAGCCACTGGTAAACAGATGTAAGGAGTCGTGTTATTAGAACTGATGTGCTGGAGTAACTTCTTAAAATCCTAGATGGATTGCAGCTAATGGTAGAATTTCTCTCGAATTCAGTGAATCCAGGATTTTCTCATCAGGCTGAGGATTCTAGTTTAGCTACAGTGAAAGAATCAACTATTTTTTTTTTTTTAAATAGTGCAAAAGTCACCTAGTCGTCTTCTTGAAATTCACTTATAGTAATAAATTTTTGCTTTATCAGAAAAATCAAAAGCATGTCATTAAGACTTGAGGCCAAAGACTAAATGACCACACCCTGAAACAACGACAGTTGTGATAAACCAGGTTTGTGTTTACGAGCGTGTCTCCACAGTTGGTTCCTAAAAATAACACCGACAGTGGTACGTATCAGTCCTTCCTCAAAACAAAAAGCAAGCCCTAAGTCAGAGCTGAGCTCACAACAGCCTTGGATTAAGACCCGTTAATACCATTTTGGACTTTGGTTCAGCAACACATTTCTGAACTAAACAGATGTGATCTTTGCCTACCTTGAGCATACAAAGTAAGAACGGCCTGAATGGCTACATACACCCCAGAAAACTGGTACGTCTCAAACATCACCTGTAAGAGGAAGGCAAGAATTAACATCCGAACCAGGCCAAATACTTCAAAGACATTTCAGAGATGTTTGAAAACTGGATTTCTAGAATTCTGTCTTTTTGCTAATCCAAAACACCTTCCAACAAATTTCATTGCACAGATTCCACACAAACATTAGAAACCTACTTCAGTAGCACATTCAGTTCCATCCCTTACCTGTTAGCACAGGATGTGCCAGAGGAAACATTCCACATCCGTTAAGCAACGATAGCAAATACTTCCAAGAAACCCCCCCCCACCAATTTCTGCAGCTTCACTAAACCCTTTTCCAAAGTGCTTAACGAGTGGGAGGCAGTACTTGTAGACCAGCCAAGTACTTCATTACCGAAGCGTGACTTGGGAATGAAGTGTTTGTTAAAGGTGTATGCTCTAGAACTAAGGAGGTTCAGGGTGGTTTGTTTGTGGGGTGTTTTTTTTTTTATTATTATTATTCATATCAACCCCTACAGGCTTTGTCCAACCGCAGACAAGTCAAGACCAAACAGGCTCCTACGCGTACGGGTCTAGAATCAGGCCAGTGCCACAGGTTGTTCTCTGCCTCTGGGCCACCTTCTTCCCAACACAACCAACGACAAACTTGTAGAACTCATGCAAAAATTGAATTTTTCAATTGAAATAGCTCAGGTAGGGCTTATTGTTACTTTTCTGTTAGTACCTACAGAAACCCACAGGTTTGTACAACTCTAACACAGAAAATAACTGCCTGTCTTGTAGATTAGGTTCCCCTGACCACTGAACTACTTTCAGTGAAGAAACAGTCTCCAAGATTAAAGGATGTGGAGCTTAGAAGATGTTGGCATCTTTATAAACACAAAAGAAGGCCAAGTAAATAAATCCTACTGTACAGCAGTTTTCCCCTCAAAATGCTTTTCCAGGGAAAAACGGATGAACTCTGATTATTCCAGCACAAAGAGAAGTTGTGCTGTTGCTATCCTGCAGCCTCCTGGGCGCTTCTGCAACTTCTAGGATTAGAAACCCATTAAATCTTAAGTGCCACCACAGCTCAAGTTAAAGGTTTCTAAATATTTTTTTTAAAAAAAAAAGCTGACGCCTAAAAATCTTAAAATTTTGAGCTATTTAGAGACCCCCCCCTGTTATAACTGTGATTTTAAACAGCTGGCCCATATCAGAAAACCTGATCCATGAGTGACAGAGACATTACAAGGCTGGCTAGTAACTTCCCTACTGGCCACAATTCCGCACGTACGCAATACGTTCAGAAACAAGAAGCAGAATTGTCTGCCAGAAAAGGAAGAGCTGAAAGGGCAGCAACTCAAACAGATATCCCATTTGGGTAGTCGTTGCCTAAAATCAGTCTTTCAAACAACCTGAGTGCTGACAAAATGAAACACTGATTTAAGAAAAATCTAAGTTATCCTCTTCGTACAACAAAATGAATATTCAAATGGCATTAGTTACTGTCTTCACACGTTGTGCTAAGCCCTAGAAGCTACAACAAAACCCTTTCAGAACCTATTTGCAGGCTTTTGGGGGGCTGTTATTCTTTCTTTCAAGACTTCTGGGTCTGTTCTATTTGACGTGAGAAATGTCTTGACTCAGGACCTACGTGTTAACAAATTTTAAGATGCAAACACTGAGCAGGATTGTGCTCCTGAAAAAGATTCTTCTTCTTGTGACAGCAGCTTTTGGATTACCTACAGAGTGACGGTCCAATTTGGCACAGAAAAGAAGAACTAAAAATCGGGGGGGGGGGGGGGGGGGGGAAAAAAAAAAAAAAAAAAAAAAAAAAAAAGGGGGGGGGGGAGAGGGAAGAGAAAAGTCAAAGCACCATGTATTCACATATTCATATATCAGACTTCAGGAAGAATCAAAACATAGTGTAACGCTGGTTAATCTCTTAATTGCAAGAGGCCTTTATCCATGGCTGTTAAATAATACGATCCAAGTTGCCTCTCTAGATTAAGTGTATAAAGTCACCGTGCAACTAAAATAGCAAGTCAGGTTGGGATTGAGAGAAGTGACTGTGCCAGAGTATCTTCACAGCTACATGATGTGCCATCACAGTCTGGCTGCTCCCGGGGAGTATTACAGAATGAGAAGGCAGCAGGTAACTAGAGACAAACAAACAGCACTCACTCACGCTGAGGAGCAAGCAGCATCTTGTACGTGCTAGGAAAGTAACGGCACTTTTTAAATATATATATATATATTACACTATAGCTGTGGTGTGAACACTTGCTGCTGAGTTTGGTGGAGTGATGGGGTGAGGAGAGAGAATTACTTCCCAAGTAGAATGAAGTACAGCATGTATAATTATCTATCATCTTGATATGGTCCAGATGACTAAGCTTTTCTTTTCAAATGCTGCTGCGCTTTATCACAAAACGCAAAGACATTATTACATTTACTGCAGGCTTTAGGAAAACTCTTAGTTTAGTGCTTCATACTGGGCTAGCCTCCCTGAAAAGGAGTCATCCATGGCAAAAATGGAAAGAATATAAATACATTGTAGCTAAAAACTAAATATTGGTAGTCTTCCTAGCACTGTGCTCCATTCAAAAAGTTAATAGAAACAATGAGCTTCTCTAACTCAAATTTGAATTTAGAAAAATGGATTCTAGGTCTCCCTAATCCTCTGGATTATAATTCAGTATCCACAATCTCTGGAGTGGTTTTAAAAAAAAAACAAACCACACAAATGGAGCAATACAAATATTTTATCAGACTTCAGAAGCCATGCAAGACTTCTCAATTTATGGTATAAAATTACTCAGTCCCAGAATAACTAAAACCCAGCCTTTTGTGTTTAGCAGGAAGACAGAAACAAGAGCGCTATTGTAGGCAGCTGAAAAGCCAAGAAGAAGCCCAAAGAGGAGAAATTCAACCATTCCTGCTCCATGGAGGCCACCCGGAATAATCTGCTGTGTCTGTCACACCGCAGCCCGCTGACACAGGACAGACGGTATCACTAATCTTGCATCACACAATGCTTTGGTAATAGCTCCCTAATGCCCACAATTGCTAAGAAATGCTGAATTTAGATTGTACAGTTTGATTTTTTTTCACCTTTTTTCCAAATTTTGCTATACTTCGCTTGCTCCCAAGTTGCCCAAAGAAAAGATTAGTGCAAATATATTCACTGCCCACGCTGCAGAAAGCACTACTGTGGCTGTGACAACAGAAGGATTTTAAAGGAAAGGGAATTTAAAGGTAAATTCTTGTTAGACTAGGCAACAAATTTGGGAAAAAAAAAAAATATACAAACCTTTCATATTCAAAGTTCTGATAAATGGGTCAGGCTTCAGACTTAGAACCCATTTTTCCTGCCCTATCAGCTCCTCTAGCACCACATTTATTTTAATTACATTTTGGTTACACTGAACACTTACATTAATGGAAAATATCTATGATGGTTGAGAAAAACACAAAACAACAAACGTAATAAAACAGAAAAGTATTCTTGTCAAACATAACTGCTCTTCAAAATCAAGTCTTTGTCACATGGTACTAGAGCTAAACAATATCCATCTGACAACCTGCATCATTGCAAAGTTCAGATGGAGTTTAGGTTGCTGAGGGCAGCACCGGGAGATCGGGGATCCAAGAACCAGGCTTTCCTTCTTAGAAGGCTTTAATTGATAATCCCTAGCATTAATCAAAGATTAGCGAATTGGTTGTCATCACACCTTTGTCTCAGCTCCCTCCAACAACACTGCTCCATCTGGCCTCAATCTCCTCTGAAGCATTACTGGCTTACAGAAGTCCAAGTCATTTAAAGTAATTAACACTCATCCAATAGCTACTCATCAATACATCTTGGATATGTGAAGTATTTCCAATTGTGTGTCTCAGTGGTGATAGGGCTTGAGACAAGAAGCCTGCTCATAGCTTTTGAATAAAGTCTCAGCTTGTTTGAATTTAACCAGACTTGCCGTCACGACTAAGGCTGAGGATGAGTTTTGGTTAGAAAACAGGAGAACTGCTTTGCCTCAGACAGTTACCAAGGTGTTCCAAGAAGTTAAAATCTCTTAGCGATGCTTCAATGACAGTATATATCAGTTTCTACTAGACAGACATACCTCCACGATCTTCTCCCTATTTTTAGTTGGATTCATGGGAGGTTCCGTGAGCAGTATTTTACAATTTTTTGTGTCAATATTAAGTTTTTCTGGTCCAAACGTGTAATCCCAGAGGTGCTTCATATCATCCCAGTTCCGAACTATGCCATTCTCCATGGGATAATTAACTTCCAGCATCGAGCGGAGTTCACTTGCTTCGTCGCCAACCATGAGATCCTGTCAAATTTTAATACAGAAACATGTCAGTGCTTGCAACGTTTTCCAAACACCAAAATCCTCAAGAATGAGAGTGAACGGCTCCAGCCCGTGTCCAACTGTGTTCTTAAACAATGCCCACGTTTTAGAATCATTTTCAGGTACTTCGGAGAAAAGTAGAATATATTTTTGTGCAGTATTTAAATTTCGTTGTTACCCATCCCAAACATTTTCCAAAATAAACTTTGTTAATTCCATTCTCCAATTAACCTTCAACAAACCAATAAACCCTGCTACAGTTAGATACCACAAAAACCTTTATTAAGTACAGATGTTTCTCCACTGACACCTCCAAAAGTCTTTTAATCAGATACTAATTTCAAAAGGCCAAGATACAAAATAGCACGTAAGGGTTGTAGGTGAGATTGGCAGAATATTTTTCCATGCATGTCGCAAATTTCGGTGCACAATACCAAAAAAGGAGTAATGAGTGGTGAATAAGCATATCAAACAGTAGCAAAAGTAAGAGATTAGAAATTCCACACTAGACATTAAAAGAAACAATGGTTTACATGTTGCCTGTGTCAATAGGCTGTGAAGAGACATACCTAAATATAAAATATACTCTCCTCTGTTCCATGCCGAAAGTCCCAAGCCCAGTAATGCATTCTTTACACAAATACAACGAACTAATGCATAGTCATTTCACACTCATTAAGCAATCTGTTTCTTAAAGTTAGTTATGCAAACATTGCACATTCAAATTAGCAGCGTCGTTATGTTCTCCTTTCCCACGTATTTCCCAGAGGAAGCGCGCACCGTAACATCTCCTCTTTGCTCACTGTTATAGCCCGTACTTTTCTAAGGAAACCTTAACTGACTTGCTCATATTTAGCCTGTAAAGAGCATATTCCTAGGTACCAGTAGCACTGTTTCCCTCCTAGTGTTATTTCATTGCAAAAAAACCTCCAGCTCCTTCATACAAAAGCATGCCACTGCCGGCTGCCGTTGCTGTGGCACAGAAAACTTGGAGGTGAGGGTTACTCAACCTTCTGCTTCAACGCCAGGGAGAGAAGATGCACAACAAAAAAAAAAATCCAGCATCGTAACTACCCTTTTTTGAGAAGTAACCTGAACAGTTACCGTTGACCATAAAAAAAAGGAAGTTAAAGGAAAATAATTTCAACCAAACCATTCCTGCTCCTCCCCCTCTCCCTGACAAGGCCTTTTATTTGTTCTCCCTTCCACAGCAGATCACACCTCACTTCTCTGCTGTACAGAAGACAGAAGTCAAGACTTTTAATGTTTTAAATGTACTCTAGTGAAATGGTTCTGTGGAAATTCCACCCTGCAGCCACGTTGCTCCTGAGAACTTAAGGCCACAGGAGCTCCATCAGTCAGCGGAATCGGAAGCCTTTATTCTGCTCCAGTTGCTCTTGGAGGATCTGTGCTGCCCCACAGGACACAGCCCAGGGAAAGCCACTATCTGAACGCGCAACGAAAGTTGCACAAAACTTTCACATCCTTTTAAAACCAAGTTAAAGGGCAGAACCATCCTCCTCAAGAAGGCCCTAACAAACATGTGCGCTTGCCAGGCGAAGAGGAAGGAGAACAGCACAACTGAATTTGCAGAGAGGAACCCGTACCGTGACGTTCAATCTTTCCACCACACTGGAACTCAGTAATATATCTCTAATTGAAAGCTGAAAGTTTGTCAAGCTCTTGGTTTGTAGCGTTAAATTGAGCAATTTCTACTGTTCACGTTGGTCTCTAAGAGTTATTCTTACATCTTGCAAACCTACAGGTTACGGAGCATTGAGAAGTGACACATAAAAATTCTCATGAATTAGTTGCTAGTAAACCAAAGCAACGAACAACGCCCGAAATAAGTATGTATTCAAGTGTAAGATGTAGAGCAAGACAAAACAATGAGCAGCATCAAAAAATAACATAACAGCTACTAGGTCCCATCAAGCAAAAATGGTAAACAAACAGCACGGGGGCACCTCACTTACCATCTTTTTGTTATTCTACTTCAACAGGTGAAGAAAGGTGAAGAAAGAAGGTAGAAGCAAGAAAGTCAGAAAAGGCCTAAATGAAATTCTCAAATTATTTTAAGTACACAGTAGAAATAGGCTGAAAAGAGACGCAGGTACAGCAGGAAATGATCTGAGCTAGATCAGTCAGGGCCAAACTAACATTCTCAGCATCTCAGATCAAAATGCCTCTTTAAAGAAAGCCATTGCTATGTGTCAGCAGCGTGTCATGTTTAAGCATCTTACGTTGCAAACATGATCAGTACATCTGCCTATTGCTCATAAACAGGATTCTGTGCATCAATATTCTCTAACATTGGAGTTTTGGTCTGAGCAAGGAGTTTATCCGACCTAAACAAGACTCTGCACAAGGCATTTGACCCCAACTAACTCTGACAAATGCTAAATCTAATTTTCCTTTAAGAATTCTGCTTTAAATAGGCAAGAACTGAAAACTATAAAAGCACTCACCTATAAGCAGGCTAATCTGTTCATATATCATGGAAAAAATACCCAAAAAAGACTCAAATAAGAGATATTTACTTAAATTATGGCACCTACTCTCAGAAATAAGCAATCAGGAAGTGCAGTAGTAAAAGCAGTGTCTCAAAAGCAAGCTATGGGGGTAGAAAGATATGATACTTTAAGCAGCTGGGAAGCACTATGAGAAATTTGAAGTATATGTATACAAACTCTGACCAAAATTATACTAAAGCCATTTTCATGATTACTGAGATTTTTTCCTCCTTTGATTAAATTTACTTTGAGTCACCTCAACTGTCAAAACCCAGCAGAATAACTATCAGCACCATTAAGGCAAATCTACTTATTCTGCAAATTGCTTCTCCAAACCTGCCTCAAAGTTTGGTAATTTAGTAAAAGATAAGGGCAGCATTTTCCAATTTTAGAGCTTCAAGGTTGCAATTTTAAGCAAAATAATCCCAATAATTACTGAATTTTTGTGTTTATGTCCTGAACTGGGGACTGAGTAGGAGAAAAAGCTACATTCCTGCTGCTGGCTGAAATGAGAATCCAGAAGGAAAACATGGACAAAGCAACTTGGAATTGATAACTCAATAGATGGATGATAACCACCTTTCAACAGCTTCCACATTCTTTTCACAGAGTTTCTGTATTCACAGAAATAACAGCTTTTTTGAATAGTTTTGAAAAAAGTTAAACTGATAATCTTCTTGTCAGCTACCTTCACTCAAGTTTTAAGGTTAACCCGTAAGAACTTGCAGTGAATGGCCAGAATTAAATTTTGGCATAGAACCCAGCTGCTAAAATACAATTTTTCAAGAAATCTGCAAGAATCTCACAAAGAAAAAACGGCCCTCACATGTAGCAAGTCTCCCTACTGTAATATCCTACTGGGATACCCAAAGTATCCGTGTCAGGGATTTTCTCTCTTGATACAGTTTCCGTAAGAAAGTGACAAGCTATTATAGGCAGATGATGTAAAACTTCTAGGGAGAATCTAGATGCAGTTTATCCTCTCTCAAGCAGAAGATGGGCAATGCACACAAAATTATAGTTTACTGGTTCTTTTTGCACTGATCTCATAGCAACTACTCACTTTCACCTCCTATATCTTCCCCATTCAACGCTGCCATCTGCAATATTAACCTGAGATATCAGATAATCAGAGGATACTCCAACTGGCAGGACAGGCTGGATCAGATCAGCTGGAGAGAAAACATGACTTCAACAATGAGATTTCATGCAAGAGAGCTGGTGGGGTTGTTGTTTTGTTGTTTGTTTGTTTTTGTTTTGTTTTTTTTTACTTAAGACTTGTAAATAACTGCATAACTTTCATAAAACTCTACGAGGATGTCTTTAAAGAAATTGTCACATTAAGTTCAAGAAGGTACCTGAAGAAAAACCTCTCCCCCTGTCTTGCAAGGAAGATGTTTTCCCTTTCCTTCCAAAAACTCTTATCTACTGTGAAAGGGAAAGATCTCCATCCTCACAACCAAATTGTCCCAGCTGACACAAGGTAAGCAGTACTGTAATATTAAAAAAAAAACAAACAGCCAAGCAAACCAGAAACAAAGAGCATTTTGGACAGGCCTGATGTCTTTCATCCTCTTGACTTCCTAGTGCGGTCTTCTGCTGATACTACTAACTTTTTACAGGCAGCAGCAGAAAGCAGAGAACTGAAGTTCTCCTTTTCGCCCACAGGGTTCTGAAAACAAGGAACAAGACTGGGCACATTAATTTTTTGGTTTTTTCTTTTTACTAAGCTGCTGCCCAGAAGCGACACAGAAAGCAAAACTGAAAGCCTCTACATATGTGGTTCTAACTTGACCTCCACTGGCCAAAGCGAGGGCTTCTGTAGTTCTGTGTCGCCTCCTGCTTCTCCCTCAAGTTCCTCCTTCTGCCCTGCTCTCAAATTGGAGTTCACAGTTGTCTAGTAAGGCAGTCAAAAACTTGACCAGATAACAAAAAAAAAAAAAAAAAAAAAAAAAAAAAAATCACTCTTTTTCAGCTGGATGGGCTCACTAAAGTGGCTGACCACCTGACTGCACAAGCAGTATGAGCAGCACAAGGTGAGAATGTGTGGCTGGCAGCAAGAAGGTAGAATGGGACCACAGCAGGGCCAAGACATTGACTGAAGCCTGTAGTGCAGAAGCAATTACTAACATTTGAAGTGTTACTCTAATTACAAAATAAGTGAGAAATGATAGCTCCCCAGACTTCAGAAAAAGATGCTCAAACAGTGGTGTTGTGCCCCCCCATCCTTCTAAGCTTGGAACAACATCCCAAGATGAAGTAGCCCGAACACAGCCTCTCCATCTCAAACTGGTGTGGAGTACCTACGCCTATCACCAGCAAAAAGAAAAGAAAACAAAACCAATAGAAACAATGAAATGCAAACACAACTGAGGTTAAACATCTCACACAAGATCACAGATGATCAACCGTTGAGTAGAAAGCAAACAGTTATACAAAGACCTGGAAGCTCCGGCAGTCCTTCAGCATTGTCTCACAATCCCCCGGTACAGCTCGGTGACAAACATCAACCACCTCCATCTGATTTCTGCCGTCGAAGCACCACATTATTTACACATTTACAACCCCTTTTTGCCCAGAACCACTTGAGCCCTACCTGCTGCCTCCTCAGTTGTACTATCTGAAGGCCTCCAGGGCTTCAGATTACCCTCTTAATAACTCTGTGGTTTGTGACAGGCTAAAAAGCAATACAGAAATGAATCAAGAGACACTCAAACAGCATAAAGGGGAATTAAGGAAAAAGTGTTTCCAAACATTACATAAGTCAAAAGCTGTCCTAAATATTTTGATCTGTCAGAAAGGAATAATAATGAAAAAAAATTTACCTTGATTTCAATGTTTCCCACTTTAGCAGTTGATCTTATGATGGGTCTTCCAACCAAAGCTGGAAAAATGTGCTCTGGAAAATTTGAGCCTGCATAACCACATTTCACAAACTGAAAAGAAATAAATAATTTTATTAGAATACACATCACTTTTGATTACTAATAGAAACCTGCTTTGGGGTAAAAAACTAAAATCCCAAATTTAAGATCCCGTGTCCCACTGGAAAGCAATTGGAGTTATACTTTCATATCAATGTTACACATTTCAGATGATGCATACATCTATAAAACTGAATTAAAGTATCTTCCTGAATTTTCTGTGAATCAGACTGCCAGATTTTTTGAGAAACAGTATTAAAATAACTAAGTACTTTGAGAGTCCAGTGCTTGAATTTGGATTCCTGCCACTCTATAAATCTGAAGCCCATCATTCTGAAATGGGCCACCTTATAATGAGTACGCAAGGCAACCAAATTAAATTGCCTCTCCAATTAGAGCACACAGTGGCATAACAAATTGCATATCAGAAAAAAAAAACCTCAAAACCTTGTGAATTCAGGTGTTATGCTGCTATAAAAAGCGTTTAACAGTGAACTAGCAGATAGTCTGTGCAATTCAGATGGATTTCTCAAAGTTTCATAATTTTCAGGGTTTCTTTTAAGGAGAAAGATATGAGTTCACTGCAAGCACTTCTAAAACCAACAGCACAACCAAAACCTCAGCTGGTGCTAGTCCACACTGAACAGGATACTCTGAAAGAGTATTTGTTACCAAAATATGTGTGAAAGGAAGCTTTGTATCACTGGGTGCCAAGACAGTATATACACTAAGAAAACAGTGAAGATTAACTGAGTGTAAAAAAAAAAAAAACAACAACAAAAACAGTCACTGGAGGATGCGGAGTTGTAAAACAAGTAACTTCTTGCTGGCACATTTAAAGTTCAATTTTAGCTCATGGGGATCAGCAAATTATGTTCTTTGACTACCCTACTCATGTAGACTTCCCTACGGTTGGAGGGAACCTCAGGATCTCCCTTGGCCAACGCTGGGCTCAAAGTAGTCAACACTGAATTCAGGTTGCTCTGGGCTTGCACCAGCTGCGTGATGGAAGCCTCCAAGGGCAGACAATTCACAGCCTCCTCGGGACCCTGTTCCAGAGCTTAATTCTCCATTTCAGGGTGTTATTAAAAGCCACCTGCTAACATTTCCAAAACGTTCACTGAGGGTTTTTTTTGGAGCAAGGTCTGAAGACTGCCAGTGAAACAATTATCACAGCAAAGAGTACAGCTAATTGCAGCTGAGGGGAATTCTGCCATTACACTAACGGGAACATGAAAAGTCACCTTCTGTTGCTCTAAATTCTTCGCCTTACTGCAGTGAAAAGGGCACGTTTTAGAAAGAAATTTATAAAGCCACTTATGGAAAGAGCCAAGAGATATTTTAATTAAAATTGGGCTAATATAGGGGGGGATCTGGGAGTTTTTTGGGTTTTTTTTGCTTTTTGTGATCTTAATGTCTTTCTCCCCATTCAGTGTTTGCTGTCTCCAAAGGCAGAGCTTGGAATACCTGAGGAATGACACTGTGTATACAACTCATTTCTCTGAGGAGGCAAGTACTTACCAACTCTTTTGCTTATATAAAGGCCAGAAGTATCTAGGAGTTACATAGACCTCATTTGTGTATTCAAGAATGCAGCGCTGCTATGAGAAAGCAAAGCGTAGCCACAAACATTTTTTTTGGGTCACACCACGTAAATGCACCAGAAGTCTTTACTGGAAGTTTTCTACCAGAGGAAAAATGTATGAGCCATTTTGAAGGACTGAGCTGAGTCCAAACAACGGTGTTCAATTTAAAATAAATAAATAAATAAAAATAAGCTCCCTTTCAGACTCGCCAAATTATCGCACTCAGGGCAAATCACTACAATATTTGGGTTTGCTTGTTATAAATTTCATTGTGCAGGACCTGGGCAAGCTAGAAGGAAATTCTACAAACCAGCCCATACAATCCCATCCTCCAGCTTAAGGTTTTATAAATTGTTTCTGAGTACAACCATAGACACCTCCAGGGAGCCCATACACCTTTACAATCTTCTTTTTGCTTACAGCTTTTCCTCCTTTTCTTTCCCCCTGTCATCACCAACTGTGTTGGTCAACAGAAGTGACAGGACCAGTAACATCTACATGATGCATCTTGACAACTCAAGGTAGTGGAGCACCCCTCAGGAAGCTCTGCTACCCACCCACCAGCTACTGCACAAAATCACTAAGTGCCTCTTAGCAAACCTTAAAAATACCTCTCAAAATCACACAAAACTACGCTGACCTCGAAAATCTCAACCTACAAAAATACTCTTCTAAATTCTCCCTATTTGAACTGCAACAGTACCTTCCAGCCCTTTAAAGCCTTGACACACCTTCCCAGGCAGTTAACGATGTTGGCAATTAATAAATCCTAGATTTTAAAAGCAGACTGTCATTTCTCCAACCAGCCTACAACAAAATCAAAACCAGGTTGTATCCATGTGAACTACAATAGGCAAGATTGATCTTGGACATTCAGGGTCTTTTTCAGAGCACCTGAAAAATGACATCTTAACCAAGTTTGGTAAACTGAACAGGAGGTAGATGGGGCAACATTTTAACTCTCTCTCTTCCCTGTCAAATTTGAAATTTACCCCCCTGCAGGCTACATGAACATTTGGTGAAGATGAGGACAAGTCAGCCTTGCACACCAGCTTTCCCAGCAATGAAAGCAGCCCCACTGAAGTATTCTCTGTGATGCTACTGAATATTCAGCTGGTTCAGTAGGTTCATGATGACGTAGTGTTGAAAATTATGGCTGGAGAACCAGGTTTGGTAGAGCTACCAACAGATAAAGGCACCTAAGAAACACAAATGTATCCAGAGAATAATTCTTGAACAGTTTTTGGTTTTTGAAGGGGTACAAGAAACATAAGATACTTCTCCTTTCCTCACAGAAGATCCTCCAAGATCTTCAGTTAAACGTTACGAACTGCAGCAGCTTGGAATACAATCAGCTTCTCTTTTCCGGTGCCAGACGTTAAATACTCACTGTTCTTCCCACTCTCAACTTGAAACCTTCGAATAAAATTTAAGTATAGCACCCTCGTTTCTGTTCCATCCCTTATGGGGCACATCCCTTGGACCAATTATCAAATAACTTCAATCCAATGCTCAGTACACACTGCATCTTGAACAATAACACCAACCCTCAACGAATTCACATGTCTTTGTAAGGAAGCCAAGAGTTCATCATCACTCATTTCTGCGAGCCCTTGATATACATTCGGAATGTTTTAAGAATAGCTGCTCGGCTTGCCCGTGTGCAAGACCACGCGTGTAAGAAGCTTTACCATATATAGTTTCTTCTCCATTTCACTGTGGTTTATACCGACTCTTTCACTTCCTACTGAGTCATCGAACAGTAAGACCGTGTGTGTTTAAGTGTTCTTTCAAACCAGAAGAATGAGGAAGCTCGCACACAGGTCACGTGACCAGTCTTAAAGCAAATACTTCTTACCAGGTCTCTCTGCCCCATTCCTTCCCTTGATGCAACTCCCAAACAAAAATCCTAAACACTATTAGAGCAATTTTACCAATTAACTTACCTAACGTTTGTCCTAGGCCAATAAGAACATCCACCTCTAACGCTTCAGACCTGTAAGATGCCATTGCCTCTCTCTGCTACACTACAGTGTTGCAAGAACTTCCCTTCTAGTCACCTCTTCCTCACAGATCCGTCGCAGCCACATACATCAGAAGTCCTATTGCAGCATTAACGAGGACCGCAAATGTCAAAGGCAAAGGTGAAATTTCAAAAAGGCTAAAGTTAAAATTGCACCTGATTTTTCTACAGCTATTCTGCATTTTTGTGTAGTATTTCTGGCACCTGGCAAGAGATTTGTCTTCAATCCAGGTTTTAAGTACGACATCCCACAGTGTATCAGACATCATTCTGATATAAAGCAGCTCTTCTTTGTCATATAGAAAAAATATTATAAAAATACTGGTTTGACAATATAGGACTACTCGATAATCTCAACACACAGTTGAGGCTCAACAGCTTTACTAAATGGCGTTTTCTTCAAGGTCTATTATCCCAATTCTACTTCAATGACCCCAATTCAACCTAAATATTTCAAGTTTACAGATTTTAACTGAGAATTCTTGATACTTCAGCTCTCCTGCACAATGAACTCTGTGGCCAGGGCACCTCCACTTGCACGTTGTTCTGCTCAGAGCTCGAACACAACCCAAAGCAGAAGTGACACAGGCCCCTCCTCTCGGCACCACAATGGCACTATAAAGGCACCTTCCACTGTTATAGCTATTTATATCCTGCTGGTACAATTCCCAGAGGAAAAAAAAAATAAATAAAAAAAAGGATCACTCCAAGACATCTCTTGATTAAAAGTACACACAGATACGTTACACTGTACAAAATCTGTGTTGCAAACGCAGCTTGGGAAATTGGGTGAAAATGATGGCTTTTACCCCATGCCTCACACCTTACCGAGCGCAGGCACGGCACAACACTGCTGTCACTGCTGATATGTTAAACCTTTTCCAACCCAATGATTTATAGCTACATAAAGGAGCACACTAAAAGATGAAGTTCTAAAATTTTTTTGGAATATGGGCCTGACAATACGAGCTTTAAACAATGAAAAAACAAAAACCCAACAAAAAAAGCTTCCACGTCGCTTTGTGAGAAGAAAATGGTAAATGCTTTCTTTTTTTCTTTCCTTTTTCTAAATGACAGTGTAAAAAGTGCCCAAAAGCTTCAGGCTCCAGTCCTATTAATGATATTTTTTTTTGCTATAGGAGGAAAAAGGAGAAGACATTAGAGCTGTCAAACCCCAGAACTGTCAAGTAGGATGTCCTTCCTGAACCGTTCTAATCATTTCACATGCTAATTGGAAAACCCTCTAATTCAGGATGCTGAATCTCTAACAATGACCTTTGTCTCAACTATTCCCTCTTGGGGTTTTAAAAAAACAATAACTCTTTTATTGCTAGTGTTTATATATATATATATATAAAAATGACTTCCTTTTTTTTCCTGCCATTCAAGAGATCTTTATATATTGTTAGCTGTGTTAACTCTCCACGTAAGATTTCTTCACTGGGGGAAACCCTAGATTTCTGAACAAAATTCCCGAAGGGAAATACCCACCTATAGCATCTTTTTTTTTTTTTTTTTTTTTTTTAAAAGCCCAGAACTGTCAAGTAGGATGTCCTTCCTGAACCGTTCTAATCATTTCACATGCTAATTGGAAAACCCTCTAATTCAGGATGCTGAATCTCTAACAATGACCTTTGTCTCAACTATTCCCTCTTGGGGTTTTAAAAAAACAATAACTCTTTTATTGCTAGTGTTTATATATATATATATATAAAAATGACTTCCTTTTTTTTCCTGCCATTCAAGAGATCTTTATATATTGTTAGCTGTGTTAACTCTCCACGTAAGATTTCTTCACTGGGGGAAACCCTAGATTTCTGAACAAAATTCCCGAAGGGAAATACCCACCTATAGCATCTTTTTTTTTTTTTTTTTTGCTTTAAAATGGTATCTTTCTGACTTCCTGTCGAGGCGCCTCGAAGCCTGCGCAGGGCTGACAAAAGGGTGAATGTCTAGGGGGTGCCTGTACGCTCCCGGAGAGGAGAAAAGGGGAAAGGATGGGGAGGAAAACCTTTGGGGCTCTCTTAAATTAAAACAAAAAATGCCAATTTTGAGCACGTTGCGGATGGGGAACGTATTCATGAATGGACGGATGACGCTCGGTTTTGACCAAAATAAATAATAATCATCCTAAAAGTAATAAGCGTGCATACAGAGACGCATCCCTGATGGCTCAAAGCGTTAAGGGGTTCATTCAGGATATTTTTAAAAATGGTATTTGTGGTTAAGTGCACAGGTTAGGTAGAGAAATCAGATATTGACGGGAAAACAGGAAAACGCCGGGGAAGGAAGGGGGTGGGCCGCACCACCGCAGACCCCCGAGGGTAGATTTCCCTCGGAAATGAGGGAAGAACCGGCAAAAAAACCCGCTGGGATCGTTTTTTTTGTTTTTTTTTTCCTCTGCCCTCAGCTCCCCCCCCCCGCCTCCCCGGGCTCCATTCATTCCGCAGGCCCGCAAGCCTCGCCACGGCGGGGCCGGGGCCGGCGGAGGGCGGCGAGGCCCCTCGGGAGGCGGCGAAGGAAGGGGTGTTTGGGGAAGGGAACGGGAAAGGCGGAGGGGTCCGGTAGCGGCGGCAGGCCGGGTGCGGCCCGCGGGTGTGCCGGCAGGAAGCCGGGCCTTGTGTGTGTGTGTGTGTGAGGGGGTGGGAAGGGGGGGGGGCGCAGCGGCTCCGCTTCCCCTTCCCTGTCGGTAGGGCGGTTCCCGGTGCCAACTCACCCCGGTGCCGTTGTCGCACACCACCACCTTCCTGCCCAGCGTGTCCATCCTCACACACACCGGTCGTCGCCGCCGTCGCCTCCTCCGCCTCCTCCTCAACCTCCGCCGGACCGACCGACCGTCGCCCCCCCCCTCCTCCTCTTCTCCTCCTCTCCGCCCTACGCTCCGCACGCGCCCGCCGGAAGCCGTCAACCCCCCGCCGCCGCCCAATCAGCGCGGCGACGTCCGCCCCCCCTCCCCGCCCGCCTCTTCCCCCCCCCCCCCCGCCCGCCTCTTCCCGCCCCCCCGTTGCCATGGCGACGGCCCCGCGGCCTGCCCCTGACAGGAGAGCGGCCCGAAAAAAAACCCACCAACACCCAGCTCCGCAACGGGATTTATTGTTTTAGTTAATTTCATTTTATTTTATTTTATTAATTTGTCGCGTTTCGCCCAGGCCCTGACGGTGCCGATGCCTCCGCCGCCGCAGGAGGAGCCTGGGCGGGAGCACCGGTCCCTCCCCTCATGAGGAGAGCAAGGCCGCAGGCCCCGGGGGTTGCCCGCCTTCCTCCAGGGTGAGGGGACGCCGGCCTGCCCGCCCTTCCCCCGGGCTGAGGGGACGCCGGCCTGCCCGCCCTTCCTCCGGGCTGAGGAGACTCCCGCCTTGCTTCTCTCCCACCTTCCCCACCCCAAGCAGCCTGCGCCGCCATGGGTCTGTCAGCCAGCTCCCCTCGCCCAGAGCGAAATTAGGCAGCTGATAAAGAACTATTTATCATATCAGCTGGTTCTCCAGGGGAAGAAGGCTCTCTCTCTTTCCAAAAGGCTCTGGGGAGACCTTAGAGCCCCTTCCAGTCCCTCAAGGGGATCCAGGAAAGATGGGGAGGGACTCTGGATCAGGGAGGGGAGCCATGGGATGAGGTGGAAAGGTTTTAAACTGGGAGAGGGGAGATTCAGATTAGATATTAAGAAGAAATTATTTGCTGTAAGGGGGGAGAGACCCTGGCCCAGGTTGCCCAGAGAAGCTGTGGCTGCCCCATCCCTGGAGGGGTTCAAGGCCAGGTTGGAGGGGGCTTGGAGCAACCTGGTCTGGTGGGAGGTGTCCCTTGCTATGGCAGGGGGGTTGGAAAGGACCTTAAAGATCAGCTCATTTCAACCCAAACCATTCTGTGATTCATATTGTGTTATTTTATAGCTCAGCATCCCAGAAGGGCTTTTACTTTCCCCAAGAGTTTTTGCCCAGGCCTTCTTGGCAAACGGTTTGCATTTGTCTGGTGGACTGAATAAAGGAAAGAATAAGCATGAACTCCCGGCTTACCTCTGACAGCCCAAAATTTTTGCCCAAAATTCCACTGACTTCAGTGATACTCAGGAAGTAGGAACAATTCTTGCCCCTGCCATTTACTTCTGTGCCATGAGGTGTCAACCCACTACGAATAATTAGGCATGGCAGAAATTACATAAGTGCAAGGGATTTGTGTAGTTACGTTTATCTGAGTTACGTATAAATAACGGTGGTTGTAATGTTGTTTTCTGCCTTGAATTTTACAGATTCGTGAGAACAATCAGAAATTTTAAAAATACCACAATAGAGGCCATAGTATTTGACTTTTTTTTTTTTTTTTTTAAACTTTAATCAGATATAGATATTGAGAATGAGGAGAAGACAGGGCATTACCTACTAGGATGAAGAGGCTATGCAAACAAACATGGACTAATCCAGTGCCATGCAGCTATAATGGAAGGAAGGACATCCTGGTTGCTCTGGAGCAGTAGCAGCTGTACCTGGGTATGAATTGCTTTCTAATTAAGATATGTTTAACAATCGTATTTTAATCTATTTTTCAGGCTATGAGGTTTTGATATTTATACAATAAAGGGTTTACGTTGCTGGTTAAAGCCAGGTGCATAAAGCAATTGCCTTGAAAGCGTACTCTTTGTTGAGAAAAATTAGTTAATTTATATATCTGAAATCGCTTGGCTTGTTGAACCCAGCATGAAGGACTCAGACAGGAAACTACATCCTGCTCTTAAACTTGCTGGGTAATTCTGGACACATCACTTCACCTGCCTATGTCTTAGTTTCAATAAACTGGACATGGTGCCATGCTAATGCTCATGAATAAAGCATCTGCAATCTCTGAATGAGAAATGTTTCATTTTGGGTCCAAATCATCTATTGTTGGTTTGTCAGACAGAATGCTTCATGTCTCCTCGTGTACAGTGATGGCAAAATTTAATCTGCTGTAAGGCAAACTGTGTTTTAAATTGGCAGAGCTGAAGAAAAAAAAAGGAAAATAAGGAGCAAACTGCCTTTACTAACTTTCCTAAGATTATATATTTGCTAGATCCTTTTATATGTTTAAGATTTTTATTTTATTACATTAATATACATCCTGTGTAACTTTTATCACATGAGCCTTTTCCTACCAGGGGTTAAGACTATTTGTTAAAGAAAGCACTGTATGACGAAGGGTTAGTTTGAAAAACTGCAGTCAGAAATTACAGTGTAAATAAAGTCACCTGAGAAATAGCGATATTGAAGTCTCCCAATCACTGCAAAATAAATAAATTTGCTGCTTCTAGCACAGCACGTAAGATTATGTATCAAAGGGATGCAATTTCTGTACCGGAAATAGGCCTGTTAAGGAGGAACTTGCGTACTCTGTGGTATAGTCAGTAAATACATTGCTGTTGTAGCTACCAACTCCTGCTGTCAGTTGTTAGATAGCCTTAAAAGATTTTGGTGTTTTCTTAAAAGGTCATGTACAACGCAAGACAGGAAGTAACAATGTGCTTTGAACAGAAATCTATATTAAAACTACTAGTTTAGTTGAACGGAGACATTGCTTCTTGTTCTAAAGGGAAAAAAAAAAAACCAACTGTTTTTTTCATCCTCAAAACAGCCTTTTTTTTTCACTTTCCCCAGGGCTGGGCTCAAAAATAGCAAATGTCCAGAGATTGGTCCCATTCCTAAGGTGCCAGCAGGAAAAACTGTTGCTTGTTCTCAAGCTCTTTGGGAACCATTTGTGATGCCCCAGAGATGTTGGGGCTCCAGGCTTTCCTGGCGATTTCATCCTCAAAACCACCTTGTAAAGGAATGTTATTGGTATATTCCAGAAAGGGACCTGGGGGTGTTGGTCGACTGTTGGCTGAACGTGAGCCAGCAGTGTGCCCAGGTGGCCAAGAAGGTCAACAGCATCCTGGCCTGTGTCAGGAACAGTGTGGCCAGTAGGACTCGGGAGGTGATCATCCCCCTGTACTGGGCACTGGTGAGGCCTCACCTCGAGTGCTGTGTCCAGTTTTGGGCCCCTTCCCACAAAAAAAGACATTGAGGGGCTGGAGCGGGTCCAGAGAAGGGCAACGGAGCTGGTGAGGGGTCTGGGGAACAAGTCTTATGAGGAGAGGCTGAGGGAGCTGGGGGTGTTCAGCCTGGAGAAGAGGAGGCTGAGGGGAGACCTTCTCGCTCTCTCCAACTCCCTGAAAGGAGGGTGTAGCCGGGGGGGGTCGGTCTCTTCTCCCAAGGAACAGGCAACAGGGCCAGAGGAAATGGCCTCAAGTTGCACCAGGGGAGGTTCAGGCTGGATATTAGGAAAAATTTTTTCACTGAAAGGGTTATCAGCCATTGGAATGGGCTGCCCAGGGAGGTGGTTGAGGCACCATCCCTGGAGGTGTTCAAAAGACGGGTTGATGTAGTGCTGGGAGGTATGGTTTAGTGATGATGCTCCTTGTTTGTTGTGTGGGTGTCTATTTTTGTCAGTTAGGTTGACGGTTGGACAAGATGATCTTTAAGGTCCCTTCCAACCTAGAAGATTCTGTGATTCTGATTCTGTGACATAGTGCTTAGAGACATGTTTTAGCGATGGTTTTTATCAGTTAGGTTGATGGTTGGACCAGATGGTCTTAAAGGTCCCTTCCAACCTAGACAATTCTATGATCATATGTTGATGAAACAGCCCAATATCTCACTCAAGACCCTTAGTGTAACCTACACTGGATCATGCCATCTGTGCGAAGATGTTTTGTGATTATGCCAGTACTTCCAGCTCAGATGACTCAGAAGTGGGTGGTGCTTATAGGGAGGAGAATCCTGACCCTTTTGTCCTTCACAGAAATGCTGTGGGCGCTGCTGAGCGCTCTTGTCTGATGCAGTTAGACCCTGGAGGTGTCTTAGCAGGAAAATCACCCTTCATGGGCTGCCCTGACCACACTGCTGCTGGCACCCGACCGAGGCTGGTTTTGATAATCGGAAAAGTTAGATACTCAAGATTTGGAGAAGGTCAGAGTCCCTTAATGATAACGAGGTAGTCATACAATGTTGGAGGTGTGTCTGTTGAGGGCTTATCTGCCCCATAAACCATGATCTATTTAGAAGTATTCAAGACTTCCTGAATGTTTTTAACTTCCTATATCCACTGGTTCATAAATCCAGCAAATGTTACCCAGTGTTTAGTATTTCTAATCTATTTTTGGTAAGCAATGAAATTATTCTGAGACAAAGGCAAAACGCCTCGATGAGAAATGAAACAGATAAAGGAAAAGATTAGTACTAATACTTAGGTAGAATGTCTTTCCCCTGCTCTGACCAAACAACATTGAAACTGCCCTGTCAATGTAGGGACTGGGCTGTTTCCCCAGCCAGCAGAGAATCCACATGTGCAAATCCCACTCGTGTGAGGATTTGAGAGAGAGGGCTCCTCAGGAAGGGGAAGTGGGACTCAGAAACACCCTGTGCTGCGTGAGGTGTCATCAGTTCCTCCCAGACCCTCCTTCCTCCGCTACGCTGAGCAGAGCTGTGGGACAGCTGTCCCAATAACCCATTTTCCCTTTCTGTTCTGAGTGTTTCCTGACTCTCTTCATGTGGTTTCTCTCTGCTTGCACATTAGGATAAGCACAGAGCATTTAATCGGCCGGTTCATAAAAATCTGTTGAAATCCGTATAAAACAGTTGTAGTACTTTATCTGATAAGCTTCAGCACTCTGCTTGGTCATCATACTTTTATTATCTTCTGTCACGAGGACTTTCTCTCTTGCAAAAGTCGCAGCAAGTCACCACACCTTCTCCTACTAGGAAACTGTAGGTAGTTCTCTCCATGGCTCTGCAAGCAGCAGCGAGCAGGCACTACCTTTTTGGAAGAAAGACCTCCTACTTACACAAAATTATACAAAGATTACTTTTCAACTTACTGCAAGTTTGCTATTTTTGAACCCGGCCCTGGGGAAATTTAAAAGAAGATAGTTTTGGGGATGAAGTCGCCAGGAAAGCCCAGAGCCCCAAGGTGGACAAAATGTTTTTCCTCTTTGGTGTCACAGGATTACAGAGTATGAGCTTTTATTTTTGTTGACTCATTTCCAGATAAACATAAGAACACACTGTTCTTATGCTTTGTTTTTTAAATTCAACCCAAATTCAGTTCCATGTAGCATCCATAGTGTGTGTCACTTCAGCCATTCAAAATTTTTAAAACACAACTTCAAAGTTATTTTATAGAGTTCATTGCAATCATAATGAATTTTGATCACTGTGTATGTGATGATGCTTTGTCACAAAGGTCACACATATCCCCTCAAGGCATAAGCTTATGTTGATTTCACTGGAAGTTAGGGGCCACAAAAAGTTTGGTGGTAAAGAAAATCGGCCTTTTCAGCTCTGCCCTAAATTGTTTGTAGTTTTTTACGTGTGTGCAGCAGATGCAAAGTATTAATTAATCTGAATTCTCTACTTATGTCACTGGTAACATTTTAGGGACACTTTGCAGAGATATAAATGATGGCCAATGGAAATTCAGAGTTTGAGGAATCTGATTTGCAGAGATTTTGAGTTCTTTTTATATTAACTGAAGTCAATGAAATGATTTTCCGAAAATTAGGTTCCAGATATTAAAATCTGGCAGGCAAAGCTGATTATCCAAAATTAGATGCCACCTCTGAAAAGATAATTGTAAGTGATTATCTCACAGTCCAAGACAGAGCCAAGACTGGAATTTAAATCATTTAATACCCGGCTCTGTGTATTAACTACAACACTGATTTTTTAATACTGTGAGCTTGAATAGAGACTTGTTAAAAAATAAAAGCAAGTTTTCAAAACTCATTCACAGCATATGCATAACAGTGTTTTGATGTAATTTGCTGATGTTATGATTCTGATAAGTCTATTCTTACCTCAAATTTTCAAAGAACGTGGTTTCAAATCAATTCATTCTTCGTTGCTGCGAAGTTACACCCCATACGAATGAATGTTATTTTTAACAAATTGATTAATGGCTTTTTTTTTCCCATTCTTTATCTGTTTTCTGCATTTTGAAATTCGGTTTTTACAAAGTACTTTTACATGGGTACATGCTTTGTTGCTGTAAAAACACAATGATGCAATACTGTTGTTTAGAAAAATAGTTACACGCTATTGGATTTTAAGAATAGCCCTTATTATATTCTTTTTAATAGGAATACTTAGAAAAGAAAAAAAAGCTCCAGAGAACATGACACCTGAGGTAACAGTAATTTATGTGTATTATTTAACTAGTCTGTATTTACGTAAAGTAATGACTTTGTGATAAAAGTATGACCTGAACAAAATGAAGTCACTGGTAATCGAGCGAGTTTGCATTTGTGTACAGATATATGGGACAATAAGGATATTGAATTTGTGATCAAAAGCACATTATTGTCAGTACCCCATTGTGATAGATTGATCTGTAACAATTATGTACTTAATAGCTCATGGATAGTTTTCATGGAGATGACATCCTGCATTGTTTACAGATTTATGTGATTCAAGATCCAGTGTATATTTTAGGACGTGTGTAGGACTCTATGGAGTCTAATTCCACATAAGGATGAGTTATAGGGAGAGTAAATGAAAGGTAACATTGAAGTGTGTTATAAGGATGTGTTATTTTAATTCGAGGGGAAAAAAAATATGTTCTGTGCATATTAGAAACTAGAAAGTAGTGAGTTTTTCCATTTCTCCTATGAAGGAAGGCTGAGAGAGTTGGGGTTCTTCAGCCTGAAGAGAAGAAATCACCAGGGAGACCTCATTGTGGCCTTTGAATATATAAAAGAGGCTTATAAGAAAGGTGGAGAAAGACTTTTTACCAAGGCCTGTAGTGATAGTGTAGAGATTCCATCCTGATAGATTCAATCCTGCAAGCATACAGCATGCCAGAGTTTAGGAGATGGAAATATCTGCACCTTGGTTGCCTGGTCTCTGGGATGAAGGGTTTTCCAAGCTCTCTTGTCTGACAATGCTGGTCCTGCAATGCTTGGAGAGGTCTCTGTAATTCTTTGAAGACCTTGGGGTTTGAGTAAATGAGAGACATTTGAGAACGAAGTGCAATGTCTTTTATTAAGTAGCTTTCCCAGAAGGCATAAGAATTGTCAATATATGATGCTGCTGCGTGGTGTGAATTGCACCTCTCACTTTTTTTCCAAAGACTTGGGTTTTTTTAAGCCTTTTGTTTTTAACAAAGACCAAACGGATTTCTCAGAAATGCTGGACATCTGCAAAGTCAAATGATTTGTGTGCAGTGCAGACGCTCAGCACGATTGTTTTCTCCCCATACTCCATTTAGCAGTAAGAACTTTATCATATCAAAGCAACCCAAGACCCGCTTCAAAAATGATGCTCTTTCTTTTTTTGCCTCTTCCCACTGCCATGGTGCAAGAGAAATAATATGTTCAGTGCTGAAGTGAGAATTAGTGAGTACCGCCCTTGAAATTCCTAACTGGAGGCCTCTGGGAGAAACACTGGTTTAACAAAAGCCAAAAACTTACTAAAGTTGAGAATGAGAATGAGGAAATAGCTCCAATAAGTAGATGCATCACTAGTTTAAAATAAGAAAAACCTCTTTTCTCTTGTTATGCTGAAAAATACCTGAAACTTTCAATTTGCAATTTTGTAGAGATTATTTCAAGTGAAATAAGGCAAACCAGAAGGAAAATGAAAGGAAATAAAGGCATTTTAATTTGTGAATTGCAGGCAAAGATTGGGTGTAGTCAAAACTTTTGTATTGGAATTTTTATGCTTCCTTACAAGGAGGATATTGAGGTCTCAAACTAGATAATAACACAGGAATGTGCATTCGTTTACTTGGATGTCTCAGATGTGAAGAAAAAGACTGTGAGGTTGTCGCCTAATTGATTAGAAGCAAAGAGCTGTCAGACATCTGAAGTGTGCAAAGCATAAGACTGTCCTCTAATTTCTAAATTTTGGCAGTTTTGATGCCACTTTTACTTAAATTTAGTATTAATCGTTGGGAAAAAAAACCTCTGCAGCCTTTCTCCCTTCAATCTTTCTCCCTTAAATCAACAGTTTATAAATGCAGTAGCACATTTCAGATGTCAGTAATGTATTTTTATCTGGCGATTGGTTACCGTGCATAATAAAATGGATAGGTATTGAAAGACAGAACGCTGAGATGCAGCATAGTGCTGCCTAAGAAGGAAATCTCCTCTTTTTTTGGATTTTCATTAGGTCTAATAGCTTTGGATATCCATGGAAATATAACTGTTTGTAAGACTAATACAACGTGTTGTGTAGTTGCTCTACTTGCTGTAATTTATGTAAATATTTTTGTCTGGGTTTGTTTTTTTTTTGTTTTTTTTGTTTTTTTTTTGAGGAATCATCCTTTCTACACAGAATTAGCTTTACCAGCAAAGGGAGGACTGGGAGAAGCACCTTGAACCAGTAGGTGACCAGGGATTTAAGACAGGAGGTGGCACTCTTGAGTAGCAGCTCTCTGCTGGCTCTGCTCAGTTGAGCTCAGATCCCAACTGGAGTCGGAGCTGGGCACCAAAAACTCAGGATCTGAGCCCTTTTTAATATTTGCATCAGTAGTTGTAGAGGGAGAGACTATGCACAGTGGAAAGGCAGAATTTAAGCTGTCTTGTTCTCATCTAGGTTTTTTTATTCTAACTAGGAAAATCATGTTGCAAACAAGAATAACTCCAAATAAAATACTGTACTGTTTTATTTAAATAAGAGGTGTGTCTAATTCTGGTCCTCCTTTTAAATATCCGTGAAGGCTGGGTGATCCTTTATTCCCTGCCTGTGGTCTGCAAGCAGGTCATGAGGTACTTCTATCTCCCTCATGAACTACCACAAAGTAATGGCAAGAGAACCTACTTTTATTAATAATATCACTGATTGAAATTTTTTAATCAACAAATCGGCACAAAACAATTACAATTGCCCAGTCTCAGCAGAGAGGGGAACTTGATGACGTCATTGCTGTTCCCCTGTGAAAATGCTTAGCTGGAAAAAGACAAAAAAAAGATAAAAATGAATCACAGCAGCTACATCGACATCCCACTTCTCATCTTTTTGGAGAATGTGAACAGTGCCTTTCACTGGGACGAGCAAGATGTAACCAAGACAATTCTGCAGTGTTGCTTATTTCCACTGGGTATTCAGTGTAGGAATTTTACTTGTAATTTTTTTTGTAAATTTTCTATATCTATTGGTTGGTTGGTTTTCCCTACAGCCCCACATTTTAAAAATACGTAGTTTGGACCAAATCTCAATTTACATTTTTTTTTTTTGCTCAGACGCACATGAAAAGTCTTCTGTTAAAAGTTTTCAGAGCAACAAAAGCCTTCAAATAAGTTGCAACTCTGCTCGATCTAGAAAGTATACATGCATGTAAGCCTTTACCCAGAACAGAACTGATTTTTCTCAGCTTGTGAACAAAAAATACAGTTCTTTTCTTTTTTTCCCTGTGGCTTGAACCCTTCGGTTAGCCTGTGCATGCCCAGATCTGTCTGCTCTGCACAGACACAATAGTCTACCTGGATGGATCTGAATGCAAGATCAGGTTTTCTGTAACAGTCCAGTCCTGTTAGAAAGAGCAGACGTTGTCATGAAACCTTTAGTTTAATCTTTTTATTAAACAAACATTTTCCTAGGTTTGCATAAGAAGTCGCCCAGCCGTGGCCTCCGCACAGTCCTTTAATAACCAGCAGGGTGTGGTGATTAAATTTCCTCAGAGGCTTTTCTTCCATCTGACTTCCAAAGAGTAATTTATTCCTCAGTTAACATCATCGCTCGCTTGCTTTGTTTCTTCACCTCCTTCGTCTGTCGGAGATAGATCAGTGAGTTAATGGCTGTCTTTTTAGTGCAAGAAGGGGGTGGGGAATGATTCTTTGAGCCTGATTCCCTAAAGAAATAAGAGGTATGTGATCATACTCCATCTGTCCCAACATTCAGCACTAATAACATGGAACCCCGTTGGCCATTTCACTTCAGATGGAAGAAAGAGGACTCCGGTCTTCCAGCTTCCTAGCAATTTTATGGAAATGGGTGGCTGGGAAGGGGAAAGAGATGCTACTACCACTTGCTACTATGGGAAAGCTTGCAGTGCGAGCGCTTTTTGTATTACACAACTGAAAATTGTTGTCTAATAGCTCTCACAGAGTTGGAATGACCCACAACCACCTAGGGAGACACCAACCTTCACTAGGTGGTTGCACGGCTGAGAATTTCTTCAGGTGGGGACGGCTCTCGCTGCAGTGGAGGAGGCACAGGTGGTATCTTTACTTTGGGTACGTAGAAGTTCTGCCATGAGATGAGCTATCACAACGGGAACGCTCACCTCACCTTCGTACTGAACGTGGGGCTGTGCCTCTTGTGTGCAGGTGGGGCACCTGCATATGGTTGTCGTGGTGCTCTTTCAGATAACGCTGTCTTTAAACATTCCTGTATCCTTCTGAAGGTGGGATGAACTGTAATTGCCTCTGAAGAAGGGTGGAACGCACACAGTTTTCGAGTGTCTGCAGCAGAACAAGGTATTTGTTCATTTAGAAGACACATGCTAAGTTTCAAATAAAAAAATGCGATTTTAGATTTATTTGGGGTCAAGATGAGCACTTGTCTACTTGTGTGCATTTGTTTTTTAAATAATGCTACTGAAACTGTAAAAGAAAGTGCAAAACTTGCTTCGTACAGCTGATCAGTACTGATCAGTACTCTTAGGTTGAAGGCTGAGTCTTAACAGTGGTTCTGTGTATTAGTTTAATTTTCACCTCTTCACGGTCGTGTTTCTGGGATCAGAGAATGGGCCAAAAGGTATTTTGCTGTATGAAAAAATGCGATAAACTTGGGCTTTACAATGACTGTGTTGCTGGAGAAAATATGGTTTCCTTTTTTTCCATAGCTGTTTTTGGAGTCCTAAGGACTCCGTTTCTGTTTCTTGGTTTTCTTAGGACAAAAATAGCTGCAGCCTGGGCTAGTTTAGAACGTGGACAGATGTTTTGTTCCAGATCCAGATGTGCAGAGGAAAGAGATTTTCCATCCACAGCCACACGGGTCCTTCTTGCTGCTACAGACTGACCTGGGGGAGAGCGGGTTTTGTGAGTTCTCCCCAATTCATATTAGGCCCAATTAGATAAATTATTTTAAGAAATTTAAAATCCTGGCCAGAGATGCAGCAGCTGGCTTGGCCTCACCTGCCTTAGCAGTACTCCCATAAACTCTTGGTAGCACATCTGAAAAGTGGTGAGGAACTTCTGCAGTTACTAATCCTATCCACAGGCATTGCTAGATACAGAAGAAATCATTTGTAGCCCTGAAAATAGCCTGAAGTTATACAGCCCTGTAGATAATGATAATGATAATTGTAGGCAAGGCTTCTGCCTGTACAAAAGAGAAATGAATACCATTTTGGCACTCGAATATCCAAGTGCAACAACCAGAATGAAAAAGACTGACCTTGTATACTTTTACAAACTAATGCCAGCGAGCAGACTTGCATTTTGAACAAGGCCACCTATGGAAATGGTTTCTTACACTGAGAAAAAATGTCAGTAGGTGGAAGTAGGGTATTTGAAGAACTGTTTAGTGGTTTGGGGCGTTAAGGAGATCTGTTCTGATCTCTGTGGAAAAAAAAAAAAGTCCTCATTAAATATACATTGGAGTTTTTAAGAAGAAGAGGTAGTTGGAGTTTAAGGGATAATATTGGATGAATGGCACGAATAGATATTTCGGGAACCCCTAGCTCTCTGTGTGGTAGGAAAGTCTACAAGACATGAGCAAATGAGTCCATGAGCAATGGAAGTTTTGAAGCCTGGTTTCCAGTGGATTTGTGTCTCATACAAATTTTTCCCCTGGCCTGGATGGCCTTTGTGTCCGTCCTAGATGGATTGTCCGATGTCTGTTAAGAATGGGGCTTTTGCTACCTCCTTTTCCATGGCTGGAGGCACCGTTTGGATCTGCTTTTCCTAGCTGGCTGCCTGCTTCCATTAAACTTGGGACAAATTTGTGTCTTGAAACCTGTGATTCACTTTGAAACGTAGTTGAAAAGCAGACACCGGATTCAAAAATTAATCAAAGAGGAAGTGAAGACAGCAGAACAGGCACTCATACACGAAATATGATGACAAAGGCCTTTTTTCCTCAGGAAATCGGAACAGCTGGAGAATGCACTTCCTCCAGATTTGGTGGTTTCCAGCACTGGCAAAGTCATCTCAAATTGAGGCACAGAAAGGGTAAATGGAACCAGTACTAAAACCTAATTTCACGTTACAGCCCTTGAAACTCTTTCATAGAGAGCTGGGGTACAGGTTTATAACATCGTACTCTTGTGGTGGGTTTCTTGGCCTTCATTTGGAACTTGGTTATTTATTAGGTGAAAACATGTATAATTAGAATTCCAGGTTTTGGTCTAAATCTATATGTAGATCACTTTTTTTTTTTACTCTTTGTTAGGCAGGTGTTACTGCTATGATTAATTTTGCTTAACCCGCTAGTCATTCCAAAGTAATATATTTTTTTTTCCTAGGTAGGAGCTGCAGTGTGTATGGATGAGAAAACAAAATCCAATAACAGGTGCATAAAACAATCTACCTGAACTTGTCTCTAGATCAATTTTAATAGGCACATTTTGTGAACCAGAACAATTTTCTGTAGTTCTTATCAACATTTTTATCAAATCTTCATCCCAGTAGGTCAGAACTCCATTGTTTTGCTAATGCTTTGGTTGACTTGAAAAACAGCCCTCCTTTGACTATTTGAGAACCTGCAGCTGAAATATGTGGCTGGGGCAGGCTGTGCTTTTGTCCTAGGGAAATAAAATGCTTAAATGGAAAATGAAAGAGGAAACTATCAGAAGAACTGTTCGGAATAAAAAACCCTGTGTTTTCCCCCTCTGTCTCTGAAAACTTCATTTAGCTCCAGGCATGGGTTTGAATAAGCTACCTCAGGTTTGCTAACACCAGCTAAAAATGTATTCTATACAGAGTAATATATACCTTGTATCAGACTTAGTAAGAAAAAAAAAGTAAGTTTCATGTAGATTATGTCATTGCACGTTAAAAAAAAACCAAACATGTCTTGCCTGCACAAAACAAAATGCTTTATCTAAGTGCTTATCCAAGGGCAAAAGTTTTTCCACCAAATAAAAAATAGCTAGTTTGAGAGAACTAGGACTGTAGATAGGTGTGATAAAAATACTTCTGTGCCTCAATGGAATTCTCAGGGTGAATGCACCGGCCACTAGGGCTTGTAACAGAATAATATTTCAGTTAAACAGACCGTAACTTATGCATCTAGAAAGTAGTAATGCTTCTACAAGAATTATATGGAGACTAGACCCTAGGACATGTTGTCCAACAACACAGCTCTTATCCAGGGAAAAATTCTTCTTAAATCTGAGGAAGTTAATTTCTATTCCCTGCTTTCTCCATGAGATAGTAGACTTCACTATTCGGTTCCTGCCTTCCAAGCCTTGCTTTTTTCAATTCTAATAGGCAGTCAGCTTGCAGGGCATGAGCCCTACTCTCAACAGTTGCGGTTTATACTGTTGACCAATACTGAAGTAGTTCCAATTAGGATTCCCCTCTTCAAGGAATTCAGTCAGACCAGCCAAATGGCTCTTTCGCAACACTCTGATACTCTGAGGTGGTGTGACTGGTGCCTTCAAATGCCTGGGCAGTGCTGGGGTTGTTTGTAAACTAGCACAGGTATCTTAACTGTTCAGATCTGTGCCTCCATGAGGTTAGCCAACACCTGAATCAACTCCAGGGCCGAGAAAGGTAGTAGTGGTGTGGGTTTGGGCTCCTTAGACCATTTTCCTGCACTGAGCATAATGTTTGCCAGCCTTGGGTATCATCTATGGGTATGGATGGTAAACAAGAGTTGTCTTCCCATCTGAGGCCTCCTTCAGATATCAGGAAGCTCAAGAGCCCTCTTTCTGTTTATATCAACACTTTATGTACTATGTGAATCTTAAATGAGTAGTTTGGGGTGTTCTTTGTACTTGGGGCAGTATGCAAACAAAATGGTTCTCACAATTCTGTGAGCAGAAGTGGTGTTTTTGTGTGACCTTGGCAGCAGATGATTATGGAAGCTGGAGATTGGGAGAGTACTTATGAGAAGTATCACTACATGTTTACCTTAGCCTGAGTAGTCTTCCTTTGGCTTCCTTTGGCAGTGTCTGGGTCGTGGAAAACAAGTTTTAATCACAGAGCCTACGTAGAGTGTGACCCTGGTGCCCAAAAGCAGAGGCCATACCCACAGCAGCCACCATCTTCTTCTTACCATGCCCAGTGTAAGTGGCAGCATCTCAGATCACCTTCTCCAGTACCACTTTCAGTGTTCCTTGGGTACTGTGTTGCATATTGTCAGCTTAAAAATTAACTGTTGCTCAAGAATATTTCACTGACTTCATTGGTGGATATCTAAAAAAACCTGAAAGCTGCAGCTCATGAACAGGACAGTTTTTAATTTAATTTCTTTTTCTTTCCTCTCCCTCTTTTTTTTTTCTCCTTGAAGCTGACAAACCTTGTGTATAGGGATTTTTACTGTCTGGTCTCGTGCCCTGAAATAGGACCTCATCATTCCAGACCAATTTGTGGTAGTCATTTAGCAGTACCTGTGCTAAATATGGGGATATTAAAGTTAACAAAAAGCATGAAGTTTAACTTCTAGAACTCAGGCTAAAAATTTAGTCCAAAGCATGGGAAGTCTGTCTTTTTCCCAATGAAAACGAATAGACTGAATTATTGAGACAATAAGATGGAGTCCCATGATGGTATTGTACACAGCTTTGCTTTTCTTATTGAAGAGAGCTCAGAAGTAATTGACAAAGTAAAAATGAATCATCCCCTAAATTTCAGCCAGCTTGTCTCAGCAAATGGTCAATAGTCAATAAAGAAAAAGAGGCAATTCAGAAAATGATTCGTTCCATCTATCTTCAATACCTCTTTCAGGACAGAGGAACTCGATCTTCAGGAGGAGGAAGGGATGCTGTATTTTATGTGCAACTATCATTGCTTAGCTTTCAAATTAATGCCACTCTAACTAGCCTACCCAGCCGGTTTCTGTTACTGGAAACAAATGAAAAAGCAGTCAGTATTTGCAAATGCAAAATTCTGCTGAAACACAAGTCATTCATTCTGCTATATTTCACCCTGCCCCACAGAGCAGCAGAGAAGACTTTTTAATTTACCCACTCAGAACAAAGTGCTGATTTGGCTCTGTGGTTCTTGGAAACCGTCTTTGCTCTGCTATTTCCTGTTATTTTCTCAAGCTGTGTAGTTCAGATGTGAACGGGGACGCACCTACCTAAAACTAAAATCCCTTTGTGCTTGCAGGGCTACGGCGTGATTCCGTGGACAGAGGCAGATGGGTGTTACTTGCCAGCAAAAAAAAAAAGGAATGGAAAGCAAAAGCGTGGCAGAAAAGTCCTCTCCTTTTAGTTTTGAGGATTTGACCTTTACTGTGGTTAACAGCCTTCCCCAACACCGACCTGGCTTGAGACGTCGAGGGGAGCCTGCCTGCTTAAATCACCTTTCCTAAGACTTTGAGGAGGGTGGGAATGTGTCACCGCAGTGATCTGACACCTCACCTACGTGGGGTGGCCTTATTTCAAAGCCTTTGGGATGGCGGAGTGAGTTAAAGGGCTTTCAGAATCTGTGGATGACCTGGTGGGAACCCAATGCTCGTCCTCAAAACCCGCTTGTACTTTCTGTTTTGCGACCTTGGCGGGTGAGTGGTTGGGAAAGTTGTTGACATGCCATCTGCACCTGCTTCACTCTGCCACCCAGCAATGGGTCCTTTCCCTTCCCAAGCGCCGCCGGCTTCTGATACCAGTGGGAAATTGGCAGCTCTTACATGAAAGCAGTAGATTCCAGTTTCCTCTTTTGGCTTATTTGCCGAGATAGGAAAGGAGCTGTTATTGTTATGGTCCCGGTGCTCTGTGTCAGAGCTCTCTTCCCCACATAACTGCTTTTGCAGTCATTCAAAAACACTTTGTCAATAGCATACGGCATCGTATCTTGTATTGTGTATTGGATTGCCCCGAGATAATTTTTTTTCCCCAGTATCACGGGCTTAATTCCAAACAAAACTGCACAACCTACGGTGAAAATATTTCCCTCTTGGTCTTTCTTCCTCATTTCTGTTAAAGACTAAGAGAGTGCAGAATAAAAGTGGCTATCTGGTGGCGGGGCCTAAAAAACAGCATAGTAGAATCAAAGTATGCTTTTTATCCTGTTTCTTTGTCATATCAAAAAGAGGAGGTGAAGTGGCATCCATTGTTCTTTCAGTTCTCTTCTCCAGAAACGATGGAAGGCTGTTGTGTCTTCTTCTTCCTAAGGGGTGTTTAAATCAGTGGGGTTGGGCAGGACACAGGACAATTGCCTCATCTCCCAAGCCCAAGGTATCACCTTTGCAGAGGACTGCAAAGGAGCTGTGTTGCTGACAGCCAGGTGGTGAATTTTGTTTCCACTCTTAATAGCATAAAGCAGCTGCTCTGGCTTTACAAGTGAGTCAAAGATTTGCTCTTCCTGAATGTGGGGTAAATTGTTTGCTGCATCCAAAGCATGTCTTTATAAATGTGCACTGTCTTTATTTCTCCCTCTCAGTTCCTGGAAATGGAGATATAGAATCATGTGTTTTCGTCCATGCTTTCATGTAGCGTTATTAATGAAACAGGTAATCCTATTTGTCTTAAAATCAAGGCAAATATCTTTTGTGTTCTGTCCATCTGTTCCAGACACCAACAGCACGCTCATCACCATGGTATTGGAACAGTCTGGTACACAAATAGCAATCAGCAGTTATTAACATAATATTATTACTTGGTCCATAAAGCTAATATTGGCAGAGATACTAGACATCACACAGTGTGATGAACATACTTTGTTCTGCCAGAATATGACAGTACTCTGTATAAAAATCAGTAAAAGGATGCATTTTTTTTATTTCATGCAAGCAGCATAAATTGCCAGTATAATATATGTCAAAATTTTCTCTTTACATCCAGTAATTTACAATCCACTGCTATCTTGTTGCAGAACAGCATTCTTTAGAAAACAAAGGAGGGGGTTTTTTTGCATGCATTAGATGAAATCAAACTAGTAAAAGTTCCATTTTCCCCTCCTTTCTCCCCTAGCTGTTGATATAGACTGATAAAGGGGTGGTTTTTTACATGCAGAAGGCCACTCATCTCGACCTAGATGAGTTATGGTTTATTCAAGCACGTGATCTCCTTCTGTAGTGTTGGAGGGGTGGCCCGTCATCGTAGCCTGCCAGAAAACCCTGGGTCACTCTGTTCCTGCACACACTAAACTCACTCTCTGCTTTTCTAGCCTGTGGAAGGACCTTTCAGACCAACTTTTTTCAGGACTTCTACCTTACAAGGGAAGCAAACCGCAGTCCCCACAAGAGATCCTGAACGCCCTACAAAATTTGGAGGTTCCCCACCAGTCCTTACTTCACACATCTCATTTACAAGCATTCAAAAGTCCAACTTCAGATGTCCCCTTCTTTGTCTGATCACCTTTCCTAGGATATAATGCATAGATTTGTTTCGGAGTTGGACAGCCAAACTTTCTAAAATCTCTGGTATTTAAATTGCTAGTTAAAATGAGTAGATTCCTCTGGGGTGGCATATTTGGGCCAGTCTGGTTAAATGAATAACCCATCTATAAATCATTTTTCTTCCCTTCTTAATCAGAATATCTTCCTGGGAGACCCACTTTGCGAGGCGTCCGTGCAGAAGCAAGTTGGAGCCCTCTCCAATCGCAGCTCCGCTGTGGCAGCTGTAAAGCTGTGAAACAAAAGTGAAAGCAAGCCATTACCAGTTCCTCGTTTTCAGGTGCAACAACGTTTTCTTGCTTCAGATGGTAAATTGCTGCTAAATTAACATTTCTGTAAGCGTTACAGCATCCATACAAGTGCTGCTTTAATCAAAGGGGACGTCTTTACCTGGGCTGGTTGTGATTGCGTCAGCCAGTATTACACTTTTGGTGAAGGTGAAACTTACTGGTCGTGATATTGGTTAAGCCTCCATTTTTGTTATGTCTTGTTATAAAAGTGGAGGCTCATTCCCTACGGCTCAGCTCTGCCTTGAACACTTGGCTGTTGGCTCAGCTGTGGGAAAAGAGTCTCAAGTGCTGGGTGACTTTCATGCACGTCTAGGTACAACAAAGGGCAAAGTGCAGCGTTTTTATCCTGTCGTTCCCTTTTATCAATCTCAGTTATGAAGCAAGTGGTGGATATTAAGATCAACCTTGACTTCAACCTTGACCCTCAACCAAGCCAAGTGCAGGGTCCTGCACCTGGGACGTGGCAACCCCAGGCACAAATACAGGTTGGGCGGAGAATGGCTGGAGAGCAGCCCTGAGGAGAAGGACTTGGGAGTGCTTATGGACGAGAAGCTCAATATGAGCCAGGAGTGCGTGCATGCAGGCAGCCCAGAGACCCAACCGTGTCCTGGGCTGCATCAGGAGAAGTGTGTCCAGCAGGTCTCGGGAGGGGATTCTGCCCCTCTACTCTGCTCTCGTGAGACCCCACCTGGAGCTCTGTGTCCAGCTTTGGAGTCCTCAGCACAGGAAGGACATGGACCAGCTGGAACAGGTGCAGCGGAGGCCACGAAGATGATCAGAGGGATGGAGCACCTCTCCTATGAAGCCAGCCCGAGAGAGCTGGGATTGTTCAGCCTGGAGAAGAGAAGGCTCCAGGGAGACCTTATAGCGGCCTTTCAATACCTGAAGGGTGCCTGTAGAGGAGCTGGAGAAGGACTCTTTGCCAGGAGGTGTAATGACAGGACAAGGGGAAACGGTTTTAAATTGGAAGAAAAAAGATTCAGATTAGATCTCAGGAAGAAATTTTTTACTCTGAGGGTGGTGAGACACTGGAACAGGTTGCCCAGGGAAGTTGTGGATGCCCCATCCCTGGAAGTGTTCAAGGCCAGGCTGGATGGGGCCTTGAGCAACCTGCTCTAGTGGGAGGTGTCCCTGCCCATGGCAGGGGGGTTGGAACTCGATGATCTTTGAGGTCCCTTCCAACCCAAACCATTCTATGATTCCATGATTCATAGACGTAGCTCGTTAGCCAAACTACATGCGTCCCATTATATTTCTTTCAGGGCCTGCCTCTCGCTGGGTGAGTGCCAGACTGTCCTCCAGGATATAGTCCAGCGAGTAGGAGAAGAAATGTCTTTGAAGTTGGCATAATTGCAACGAACAGAAAGGTATAGATGGAACTTTCTTGGAACACTCTCTTCTGTCTTGCTATCGTAGGCCAGTATCTTGGTTCTCTGCAGTCAATTGCTTTGGAGCAATGCTTTTGAGAAGAATGAGTCACTTCTGGCTCAGTTTAATGGCTTTATCAGGACTGAAAAAGCCGTAGCTGGACTAAACGCCGTTATTTGCAGTTCATTTTATGTAGCTCTTTTTATCAGGTACAGTGACTGCCCACCAAAAGGAAATGAAGATGCATCGCTTTCAGCTTGTATAAGAAAGATCTGTAATGGTTTTTGTCATCTTCATGAATAGAAAGTAATCGTGGAAGTCTTTAGCTTTCTCTTCTCCCCTGGTTGCAATGTACATCACAACATTACACGTTACTGTTGCACAGTTTTCCCTTGTCCCCTTAATTTTAGATAGGCTGCATCCTCCTCAGTAATCCTTCGGGTTTATGACATGGAGCAGAAAATGTCACCACGAAAATAGGAAGGATGATTATTTTGCACAGTTTTGAATGACTACCCGAAGGAGGAGTTGGGGGGGACTACTACGGCCTTGCAGTTTTGTAGAACTGGATGCCTCCCAAAATAGCTGCCCTGAGTGAGGTGGTCATTCAGTTTAGCAAGTGTTAAACTGATACACGGGCATACCCTAGAAAAGATCAGGCAGACTGCTTTGAATTAATGAGGGAGGCTGGGGTTCTCTGATAATGCTAATTAGGGGTTGATGGAAAGCACAGTAGTCCATCGCCCCTTCTGAACCATAGTTTTGGGATGAAAAGCGATGAAAAATCATCAGAGGGGAAGCTGTCACCCTTGTTCCCTTGAGTGTCGTATCTCTTCTATGAGCATCTCCTGTGGGTAACAGATAGGAAAGCAAATACAGTTGTCCTGATTTTTTCCTTCAAGTGCTGTCTCACATAATAAGCTTCCTGCCCCACCCCACTTTTTGATTTCAATATGATATTATTATGTCTTCTAAACCATGTATTTTAGCAGATTTTGTATTTGGATACAATACAAACATGGAATGAATATCCCATGGGGAATATTGTGTTAGATAACAGTCGAATTTGAATACTTAAACTCATGTATTCAAAATGTGACCTTTTTTTTTTTCCCACAGTACAAAAAGAATCTCATTAGTTAATGAACATAGGCAATGCATGCAGTATATAGGGAGTGACTGCATTTAAGTATTAATTACTTAAATAGCTTTTTTTTTTCTTAAGGTAAAAGGAGCAAATAATTTCAGTACCCTATCTTGTATAAGATTCTTTCTAATTATTTTTCACCACCATAGCCACTGGAATGTAAATAGTTGGTGGGGGTTTTTTTGTTTTTTTTTTTTTTTTTTTTTTTTTTTTTTTTAATTTCTTTCTGGTGAAGGTATAGCTCCTGAAATTACATATCTGTTCTCTCTCCTTTTGTTTGCTTTTAGGGAGAAACTGGAGCTGCTTCATCAGTGCCATTTCCACACTGTGGCTGGTCTCAGGAAAAGGATTGCATTTGATGAATTAGGGCTGCAACCCTCCCAGCCATGGAAGAATACATCTTACAAGAAAATCCATAGGTGACCAACAGGCCACATTGGTCATCCCTCACCCACAGCGGTAAGCAGTTTTTTGAGAGCTAGGAGAAACTTTCTGGTATACCTGGAAATCGGTCTAGATCTAAATGAAATTAAATTAAGCCTCTGAATACAGAATTTGGAATTTAACATGGTGTGCCTTGACAACAAAAGCAAAAAAGCACAATGAGTTTCCACTGTGGGTATTTTAGTCTTGGATCACACTTTTCCACTACATTTCAGCAATGTCTCTTGTATCCCAGTACCTTTGCTTTCATGTTTGTTTGTTTTTTAAGTTTGTCGGTTATTACGCAATGTCATTTAGAATCAACCCTTGTGTTGTGTTGAGTGGCTTCAGTGAATAATGATTGCAGGATTAGCCTGCCAGTAATTAAATGTTGCTGCCTCTTAGGTTGAAAGTGAAACACCTCTGTGGAATTTCAGAGTTTCTAGCTCCATTTAGGTTGTGCGTCTAAATAGTACGGATAAGTGTATCAGGTCAATGCAGACAGAGTGCATTCTTAAAAAAAATAGTTAAAAAAAAAGGCAAAAGAAAGATAGAGGGAGAAAGAAGAGAGCAATAAATGTGAGAAAATGAAAACAAATTCACCCAGTCATTAAAACTTTGAATTGCATGGGAAATTTTCCACACTTAGCTGAATCCTGAGTGTAATTTCCTAATTTTGCCTTTGTACAATCCGATAAAAGGGCTCATATCTGTGCTTATCTTCACTCACAGATGGGTCTTCAAAATTTGCAAGCGATAACTTGTGTAAAAAAGAATGTATTGCCTAATTCTGAAGCCTATAGATGTACATATGTCAGTAGGTTCTTTACTGCTTGTGGACTAAGGAATCCATTGCGCACTTGCTTCTCGTATTTGGTTTACTGCTATGCAGAGTTTTACCACTTGAATTCACTGATTAATGTCTTACGCAAAATGAAGCCTTTATTAATTTTATTTTTTCCAAATCTGCTACCAAAAATCACAGTATTTCACCATTCAAAGACATTTCTTTGCTTCTTGAAAGACTTTATTAAATGTTTCTGTGCCATCCTCCTCTCAGGACTGTAGTGGTGTCCCCTCCTGTGACACAAATGATGAGTTTCTGTGAGAAATATTAGGTGTGACACCTAATCCTCAACTGACACCTGAAAGATTTTAAATAAAGGTTATCAAGGAAAGGTCTGTCAGCTACCCTCAGTTAGTTCTGTCTGTCCTGTGTTTCATGAAAATGAAAGCATTTATTTGACTCTCTCAACAGATCCCAAGCCTAAACTTTTTTTCCTTGAGCTTTTGTAAACATTGAAGGGTTCATACTGAATAACAACAATAATAGATGGATCCCATCTGTTTTTCTGTTGATTGTTAGTTTAATTTAGTGTATGACTACTCAAAGTTTAGTCTGCCAGCCAAGGAAGGTATGCAGTTATCAACATTACTGATAGGATAAACCAATTATGTAAGCTTATTTTCAAGTCTCCCCAAATCCCATAATACTTAACGAAGTAGAACTTTTGAGCTGAAATGCACCTGTTTACAGAAAGATACAGCATCAAATAGAGGTCTCAAAGAGACGTTTGGGTAGACAAAGTGGCCTTTTTGACTGATCCTTTGCCCGTTGCCATTTTTAGGCATGAAATAGAACAGCAAACTGAAAAGAAAGTGTGGAGAAGAAAAACTCAGAGTTGTAAGGAAGGCTTTTGTGCTTAGATGGCTGGGGGGGCCCAAGCACTGAAAAGGTCAGCACGTGCTGTGTTTCGGGGGTCTAGTTAGTGCTGCATCTTTGAGCTGTAACAGGATTTCTCAAACCAGCCTTGGCAGGACTCCAGATCCATCCTGCGTGGAGAGCGGAAGGCGCCCGTGGGGCTTGGCAAAAAGTTGCTTGTCCTTTCCTCGTGAAGATAGGTATTTTGTTCCTGGGTGGTGTGGGAGGAGGCTACTGCTTTCTCTCTGTGTTGGTAGCCACCGTGGAAACAGATAATTCCAGGAGAGAGCTTAATGTGCAACTGCAGACCCAAATGTCACTGTAGAGGTCTGAGACTCTCTCCCCTGACACACAGCTGAACTGTACATGCACGCGCAAAGGGTTTCACAAATCTGCTAATAAATGACCCAAACCAAGTTAGATGGAGCCTACAAGGGATGAGCAATGCCAAAGGGCAAGAAAAATGAAAAAGCACAGAGAACAGTGAGAGAGAAATTCAAAAGGTAGATCATGGAAAGCGTAAAATGGTATCATCAGTGTCAGGACGTGAAACAAGGGAGGGTGTTTGGATTCTGTTGTTGAATCACATGTTGTGGGCCCCCGTGAGCGTGGAACACACCCAGGATGGAAGATGCTGCGCTGCTGTGGATGAAGGATGCAGAGAGGAGGATCGTGAACAAAGAAAAACAGAGAAGGTTTTGAAAAAGTAAGATGTCGGAAGAGAGAATAATGGCACAAAAGCTGGTATTGAAGGAAAGGGGTGAGACAGCAGAAGGAAAAATGAAAGAAAGTACAGCCACTGATTTGATTTGCTGTTTTTCATTAGAAACGTATCTTTTTGCCACTTCTGGATGCCATACATGTATATAAGAAAACACAAACTTTTCAACTTAAGGCACTAAGTCTCCCTTCCAGAACCCTGGCATCAAAGCCCAACAAAACAACCTTCGGTACTAAATCGATGTCGGTGTTAAATTCCACCCTGTGGCGAGCAGGGAGATGCCAGCCCAGCTGGATGAACACATGCCAGAGCACTTCGATGATAACCGGTACGCTGAATCGAAGCCTTAAGCAAACAGATACCCAGGCAAAGAGCAGAGCGACCAAATTCCACGGTGCGCTACCCTGCTATCTCTGCTGGGTTGCAAAACGTGTGAGTCAGAGGTAGCAGATAGCCCTTGGCAGGACCTGTGGTGAGCACTCGGATCCCCACTTCAGCAAACCTGAGTCTTCTTACTTCCTGATGCTCCTGGGCCCTTTTCAAGCAAGCAGTACTCGGCCCCAACGTCCACGTGGCAGCCAACCAAAGTCTGCGTCAAGAAGAAAGGGTTTGTTTTTACTAGAAGGAAACGGGTGGTGCAGGCAGGACCCAGAAAGCCCAGGAAGCCAACCCCATCCTGGGCTGCATCAAAAGAAGCGTGGCCAGCAGGATGAGTGGGGGATTCTCCCACTCTACTCTGCTGTCATGAGACCCCACCTGGAGTGCTGCGTCCAGCTTTGGAGTCCTCAGCACAAGAAGGACATGGATCTGTTGGAATGAGTCCAGCGGAGGGCCACGAAGATGATCAGAGGGCTGGAGCCCCTCTGTTGTGAGGACAGGCTGAGAGAGTTGGGGGAGTTCAGCCTGGAGAAGAGAAGGCTCCAGGGAGACCTTTGAGCCCCTTCCAGTCCCTCAAGGGGCTCCAGGAAAGCTGGGGAGGGACTCTGGATCAGGGAGGGGAGTGATAAGGATGAAGGGGAATGGCTTGAAACTGAAAGAGGAGAGATTGAGATGAGATGTGGGGAAGAACTTCTTTGCTGTGAGGATGGTGAGAGCCTGACCCAGGTTGCCCCGAGAAGCTGTGGCTGCCCCATCCCTGGAGGTGTCCAAGACCAAGTTGTATGGGGCTTTGAGCAACCTGGTGTGGTGGGAGGTGCCCAGGGCAGGGGGGTTGGAACTGGATGATCTTTAAGGTGTCTTCCAACCTGAACCATTTTGTGATTTTATGATCAGGAGATGGCAACCACAGTTGTGGTCCAGAGACTAAGCTGCCATTACAAAACCAACAAACAGGCTGGTTCCTCAGCTGGCACAGAGCCACGGAAGCTCAGCATATCAGCTCCAGCTCTGTCTTCTGTACCTCTTGTGGCACCAAAGATGATGATTAAAAAGATGCCCAGGATAGAACAGATGAAGTAAAGTGTACTGAATTCACCAGCAACCTTAAGTAAAAGCCGAAGCTGCTTAATTTATCCTTGCAATCATTTTACCACTGAGCTTTTTTTACCTTTCTTGTGGGTGCTGTCATAAATGGCCTGTGGGAACAGTGGAATTGTCATTTCTGGAGGTTTTCAAGAATGTTGCTATTGGGATTGAAATAGATGGAACCGAAGCAGAGGAACTGAGTAGATCATCTCTTGGTGTCCCGTCCAACCTCTTTTTTTTTTTTTTTTTTTTTTTTTTTTTTGAAAATCCTTTCAGTTCTAAAAAAAAAAAAAAAAAAAAAAAAAAAGTTCTAGGAAAAATATTAAACCCATTTCTGGAGGTTTTCAAGAATGTTGCTATTGGGATTGAAATAGATGGAACCGAAGCAGAGGAACTGAGTAGATCATCTCTTGGTGTCCCGTCCAACCTCTTTTTTTTTTTTTTTTTTCTATTATTTTAGCAAATGCATTCAGTTACTGCCCTAAACTTGCAGGGTGACGTGGCTTCCATTAGGCTTGTGTAACAAAAGCCCCAACTACCAAACCCCTCTGCTTCCTCCGTGGCTACTCAGGCCAGACAAAAACGTGGTGGTGTCGGTTCTGCAGAAGGTTGGGAAATCAAGATCTGAACCGTGGCGACAGCGCGGGGTAAAAAGTAAAGAAAGATATCCAAGTTAATATGTAGCCAGCTCATTACAGCGTCCCGTGTCCTGCTCAAAATAATTTTCTGCTTCAAATTTGGGTGACAGTTGCCACAAAACCTCCCCCGTGCTCACGACAGCGCTGAAGTAAATTGGGCCTGGATTCTGATGAAAGGAGCCAGAACAAGGTGCTAGTTCTCCTTCTTGGAGTTTCTCAAAAGAGATGCAGCTCACTGGAGTTGGACATCTGCCTTCTTCTCCTCCGCCCTTTACTTCCTAAATCCAGAATTATGAAGAAGAAGAGTTTGCTAACAGCGTTTTAGGTGTGTGGCCAGCACATCGCAAATGGGCTGGTGATGTTGCCAGAAAACCACCTGATGGGTCCTGCAGAGGGATTAAAATACACGGGAGGGCTGTGCTGAGTCCGAGGGAGACATCCTGCTATCGAGAAGCTAAAATCTGTGTTTGTTCCCCCAGCGCTCCCCGTATCCAAAAGAGGTGGTTGCAACATCTCGAGCCCTCTGGTGTTGCATTCCTGGGACCTGACCTTCTCGGCGGGGCTGCTCTGCATCTCTTGGCCTGCCAGCTTCCCAGGCAGTGGATCGGACACTTGGAGGGAAGGGCAGAGGAAGGCAAGAGGGGAAATAAACCCCTAAATTGTTTCATTCTGATTTTTATACGTAGTCCAGGGAAAAGGACACTGGCAGGAGCCGGGTGGTGGTTGAACACTGCTGTGCTAACACGACAGCTTTATGAGGAGGCAGTAACTGGGGCAGGAGCCTGATTCCCCCCCCTCCATTTGCTTCAAGACACAGGGGAGAGAGAGATTTACAAGGTAAAAACTGTGGTAGAATGGTAAAGAGCAGACCAGAACCTTTCTTTTGCCCTGTGACCGTGTGGCATGGGTATAGAGCTGCAAAATAGTGAGCGTTTCATACGAAGTTAGGGCAGAAGAGGAGGGTGGAACCAATCCTGTGCAGCTCGCTGCTTTCTGCAGGCTTCAATCCCTCATTTCCCGCAAGGAAATGTCCCTGTCCCCTGGCACACACCTTTTGTGGCCCCGGGAGGAGAGAGATGGGAGCAGGGGATGGCAGGTCAGCATGATGGTTCAAGGTAAATCTGTGCTCACGGCTTTTCCCGGGCTGCTCGGGTAGAACACCGTAGCCCAAGCCAAAGGCAATTCTGCAGCTGATTTCACTAACAGGATAAAATCAGCCTCTTTTGGTTGGCACAGGCAGAATTCAGCCCCGGAGGTATATGAATAATGTTTCCTTAACTGGCATCTGATATTGCTCCTTGCCCTACGCTCCCATTTAGCCAGAGACGAGCGAGGCCTCTCTGACCATCCGGTGGTTCGTGGTGTTCAGACTAGGAATCCCTGCTGAAGGCAGGACGGGGGACAGGACAGAAGGCCATACGCAGGTCATAAACCATCGCTCCCACCCCAGCAAGACCTCCTGGGGACCTGGGGGTGTTGGTAGACAGCTGGCTGAACATGAGCCAGCAGTGTGCCCAGGTGGCCAAGAAGACCAACACCATCCTGGCTTGTATCAGGACCAGCGTGGCCAGCAGGAGTAGTGATGGTGCCTCTGGACTGGGCACTGATGAGGCCTCATCTCGAGGGCTGTGTCCAGTTCTGGGCCCCTCACTCCAAGAAGGACATTGAGGGGCTGGAGCATGTCCAGAGGAGAGCCACCAAGCTGGGGAGGGGCCTGGAGAACAAGTCCTACGAGGAGAGGCTGAGGGAACTGGGCATGTTGAGTTTGGAGAAGAGGAGGCTGAGGGGAGACCTCCTTGCCCTCTCCAACTCCCTGACAGGAGGGTGTAGAGAGGTGAGTGTTGGCCTCTTCTCCCAAGGGAATAATGCCAGGACCAGAGGAAATGGTCTGAAGTTGGGGCAGGGGAGGTTTAGATTAGATATTGGGAAGAATGACTTTCCTGAGAGGGTGGTCAGGCACTGGCACAGCCTGCCCAGGGAGGTGGTGGAGTCACCATCCCTGGAGGTGTCTAAGAAACGTGTAGACATGGCTCTTCAGGGCATGCTCTAGTGCCTGAGATTGTGGGGGTCTTTTGTGTGTGTGTGGTTGGACTCGGTGATCTCAGATGTCCTTTCCAACTGTGAAGGTTCTGTGATTCTGTGCAGGGGCTGTGCGGATGATCTCACAATCCATCAGCAGGCTGTTCCTCCTGCCCTTGGAGCCGGCTGGAAGATAAACCCTGGTCAATGTGTTGTACTGTGGCCTTTGTCATGAAATAACGTCAGATAATATGTATTTAGTGGGGATTTAAATTCCCGAGCTGATTACAAGCAGCTGTAAAGACTCCTAAGGTTCAGCAACGCTCCGTGTACGAGGCCAAAATGATGGATACCGTGGTGGCCGTTCCGGTGGCGTTGAAAAGCAGAGGACTTCCGACAGGAGTAAATCTGAAAGCATAAAAAAATAAAAACCACAGTGATACAACTCAATATTAAGTAAGAAGTTGTTTTAACTGGTTGACCAGAAAATCAGGCTCCTTATATTCTGAATTCTTCAAGCTGTCATTTGCTCTGATGTCCCAGGCGTGTGACATGGAGCCACAGGAGGAGGGGGAAGGGTTTTAAACTGGAAGAGGGAAGATTTAGGTGGGATGTCAGGAAGAACTTGTTTGGTGTGAGGGTAGTGAGAGCCTGGCCCAGGTTGCCCAGAGAAGCTGTGGTTGCCCCATCCCTGGAGGGGTTCAAGGGCAGGTTGGAGGGGGCTTGGAGCGACCTGGTGTCCCTGCCCAGGGCAGGGGGTGGCACTGGGTGGGCTTCAAGGTCCCTTCCCACCCGAACCATTCCGTGATGATCCCATGAACCTCTCCCTGCCCCTCTCCCGGCAGCCAAATGAGTGGAGTAACCTTCACTGCGCCCAAGGAACCTCACAAAACGTGACCAGAGCACGCTTCTGATGAAAGAATGTCCTGCTTTGACAAAGATGCCAAAAAAAATTTAAAAAAAAAAAGGGATTGTTACTTATTATGGCGGGTTGGGGAGAGCTCCCAACCCCCAGGGGTGCCCATCCCCACCCCTGCCGGCCCTATTCTGATGACGCCGCCTCCACCTTTCCCCCTCACCCCACACCGAGGCGGGTGGTACAAGGAGCAGCCGAGCCGGCCGCCCTCCTCCATTCCCTCCCTTTCCCCTTTTCCTGCCATTTTCTCTTCCCCTTCC